GTTCAAGCCTAGAAATCCTAGATGAGATGCTTCTTAGCTTCATGCAGCTGTTCATCAATTTTCTGATAATAGAGAAAAATCTAATCTTCGAAGAAACTTCTCGAAAAGTTCTCAACTGTGAGCATTTAACGAAACAGAGAGTACTGAGAGATTCCAACTTGATATTTGAATAACAGCACGAAAACTATGACCACAATTTATTCAAGAGCTGCCACCAGCTTTACACTATATTCATGCGAAACAAAGGCCAAGACTCAGAAAAAAATATCATTTAAATCAGAGGTTTCTTTGCTCATATCATCTTAAGATCTTTATACCACAGTAAGACGAGTATTTGCAAGCCTCTAATCTTTAGAGATATGTGCACACGTGGAATACTCAGCTGCAAGATCACTCATATACTCTCCTTTACAACAACAAAAATTACTTGAAAATCATTACTCTTAGAAACAAGTAAAAGTTATCTAACTATATGAGTTTTAGTACAGGCCTATGTTCAAATAATAACTTAATCTCATCTGAATCATACCATCCAATACAGAATCACCCTCCTTAACAAGCACATGTTGCACAAGAATCTCTCTAGTTGGACTACTCCCACTGCAAAATGAAGCTGGAAGATGAAACGTGAACACATAATCAGAAGCTCGCAATAAAGCCTTTGATACAAGCAAGCAAGGAGAGAAATAGTTAGATACCTCTATCTATGAGAGCAGAGAATCCAGAGAGCCAAATCTGGTGCTGGGAAGAAATGGGTGAGATCTGTCCGCCGAGAAATGAACGAGAAAACGTCGAGTTCCACTATTAAGTACATTCAGATACTGAGAATCACTGGCTTAACCCAAACAGTTACTCCTCATGACATTGTCTGATTTATACTTGAGCTGCTTCTCTTAACTCCAAAGACTCTAGACCAGAGTGAGTCTTTTGATACTCTCTTTGTATCTGGTTTTTCTTTGTTTTTTCGATAATTGAAACAAGACAATCGTCTTCTCGAACCTTCACCATCATCAGCATTTTCATCTTTGTTACCATCATCAACACCTTCATCTTCGTCACCATCATTCTTATCATTTTCGTCATCATCATCTTCGTTTCCGTCAAGACTGCATTGAGGGATATCCAAAAGTCGTACACCACAGCCTTTGCCCTTCCAGGTTGCACCACGAACTATGAATTCAAAAGAAAGCTCAGTGAAAGTGGCTTCTTCGGCTTCAGGGCAATCCTGGTTTAGACAGAAAGAATCTTCAAATATATACAGATGGTCCGAAAATTCGCCATATTTAATGTGACATGGAATCTGCTGTTTAATCGATCTATATTCGATAGTGAGTCCATTCTGTTTACCACTGACAGAAAAAGACACATCTCTCAACGTATAATCAACTTCGTTAGGATTATGAGGCGGGATAGTATTGCACGAAATCAAGATGCAAGCTTTGAATCTGACGGAGGAAGGAAGATGTCTTGGAGTCAGATTGATCGTTAGAGAACCTGAAATATCCTGGTGGGAGAAGTATGCAGGCACATCTTCACCCGGTAAGAACGCATATTTGCAAGTTGATGTCTGTATGAGCTTTCTCGCCTCTTGATTCAGGTTGTAGCAGTCAGCGAAATTTAGGCACATATCTGGATTTTGAAAAGAGGAGTCTATTCTTTTCAAGGATCTACAGTCTTCTGCATTTATAGATTGAAGGGAACTTTCAAGCTGTGGAAGTTCTACGAGTTTTTTGCATTTTCTGAAGTTAAGCTTACTTAGTCCAGAGAAACTTCTAATGTAATCTGGAAGAGTCTTGAAACCATTACCGCAGAAATATAATGATCTTGGAGATGAAAGAACCTTCTCGGGTAGACACATTGGCAAAATGTAGTCAACTTTGAAGGTTGTTTCTAAGCTCCAACGGCGCTTCAAGTCAGGCCCCCACATGATTGTTGCCCTGAACTTTTCTTCATTATCTTTACAACTCTTACGATAAACACGGTTACCCAGTTTAAGAAACTCAAGATTCTCCAACTTAGAAATGTTTGGAGATATCTTTTTCAGCTTCTTGCATCCCTCCATAAATAGTACACGCAGACGAAATAACTTCCCAATCGATGGAGGAATCTCTTCTATCCCTGTCTTGGACAACCACAATCTTACAATACTGTCTGGAACATTTGGGAACTTCTTGAGGTTTCTACAGTCTGTCATCTCCAATTTATAAAGACAAGACCACGTGCTCATTGATGATGGCATTTCCTCTATCGCAGTGTTGCTCAGATCGAGCTCTTTCAAACTCGAACAACCACTGAATGCTTTTAAACTCGAGCAATTATAGAGGTGCAATTTCTCGAGATTGACTAACCTACCGATAGAAGAAGGGAACTCCTTCAAAAGCAAACAATCGTAAAGTTTGCAGACTTTAAGCTTAGTGGCATTCCCTATAGAGCTTGTGATCTGTAACAAACTTTGGCAGGCACTTAGATTTAATTTCTCGAGACTTGTTGCTTCGGAGAGATCAGGAATACTTTTCAGATACTTAGAATCACTCAAATCCATCAGCTTGAGGCATTGGAGAGGCTATTCCAAAAAAAAAAACAAAGAAAAATATGAGTTTTAGAGAAATGACTGATTGTGCTTTACACGCAATGCAATGCAGTATAATACAAAGAAAGCAGAATATTTTTACTTTGATTCCGTCCCAAAGCTTCTCAAATTTGCTATCTTTCATGATTAGTTCGACAAGAAACTTGCCAGAGAACTTGGAAGGCCAAAACCTCAATGGACATTTATACCAATTTAAAAATCTGAGTTTGTGGGGAAGACAGTTGAGGCCTTCGGGTATGCGCATGTTGCTATAGAAGACACGTAGAAACTGGAGATTATTCATCCCATCGAAAGCGTTTTTACTTATTTGGATTTCCTCTTTTTCTGAAAGATATAACGAGATGCCTAGAACTTTTCCAGTACCCTAGAATAGATTATTTTTAGAAGAAAAAAAGCTAATAAATCTCAGCTTAAAAAACCAAGGAAACAGAAGAACAAAGATGTAAGAAAAAGACTTACAGTATTTTCATCAAGAACATCAGTAATCTCATTGGTATCCCACAAGAACTGTCGCTTTCCAGGCTCCTCCAAAGACTGTTTCTTGACAATTTCTCTACCCATATGTGCCAGTAAACTATGCATTTTTATGTATCCTTCTATAGATATAAGAGATTTATCAACTAAGACTTGGAGCCCATGGTTGACTTCCAAACCGCTTTTTTCAAGACAATTCTTAACGCTATCAACTTTGAAGAAGAAATGAGAATAGAAACATGCAATATGCAGGAAAAGGACTTTATCTTTATCACTTAAGGCGTCGTAGCTGAATCTTAGAGTTGATTCAATTTCTCTGTCAAGGCTAGACCTAAGCCTTGGTAGTGCGTCTATCCACTCCTCCCTCGACATTCCTCGCAGATACGATCCCATGACTCTCAGACCTAGAGGAAGCTTACCAGCAAGCCAAGTAACTTCCCCAGCAAGACTTTCAAAACCCTCAAACGGAGACTTTTGACCAAAAGCATATTGGCATAAGATCTCAAGAGCCTCAGCATGAGTTGGAAAATTCATCTTGTAGATATGATTGATCCCCAATCTGAGTTGCTTGAGAGGTTTTCTATCTTCGGTTGTAATGATAATAATACTTCCCGGACCAAACAGTCCACGCTGCTTTGCTATTTCCTCGAGTTGCCACCAGCTATCCACTTCATCAAGAACAACCAACACTATTTTGCCACTCAGCATTTGTTGAGCCACTCCTAAGTGACCAACCACAATATCCGTTTGGTTGAGTAGTTGAGACAACAAATTCTGATGCAGACGCAACTTCAACTGATAGTCGTTACCGCAAGGCTTCGCATAACTTCCTCTGATATTCTCCAAAAAAGTGCTGAATGGAAAATCAGGAGAGAGTTGGTTGTACAAAACTCTGGCAGTAGTCGTCTTACCAATACCGGGAGGACCCACAATCCCAATCACCTTAACTTCTTCGGATTGTAGGCTCAACTTCGACTTTATCTCCATGATACGAGCTTCCATGCCAACAAAGGCATCAAAATCTCTTGATTGTGTAAAACCCAGCACATCCGTGACATCTGAGGCAACTTTGTTAATCAAAGCAGATTCGTTTTCCCTAACAAAAACAGAGGCTAACAATTAAAATAGACGTCATGAAAAGTAGCAGCTACACATTATTAGCAAGTGGAAGGAAAAGTGAATGAACCATCTGCGAGTGTCAAAACCAGCTATACCCGCAACATCAGTCAAAGCTTGCCCCCATGCCTGCTTCACCTCTTCTGTTTTTCCCACACATGTTTCATTAAAAGCTTTTCCGAAATCTCCGGTCTGCTTTCTAACATCAGATGGATCCACTTCGTAGAAAATGGTCATCACTGTTTGTTGATAATCTTCCCTACAGTTCATGATTTCCACTAACTCATCCAAACACCAGCTTGAGGAGGCGTAGTTCCGGGAGAGCAAGACAATGGCTACCTTTGATTGTCTGATTGCTCCTATGAGCTCGGGACCAACAGATTCGCCTCGCTTGATCTCGTTATCGATGAAAGCTAAGATTCCCTTGCTTTTGAGCTCTTTCAGAACGTGACTTAGAAAGCCTTTGCGCACGTCTTCGCCACGGAAGCTCACGAAGACTTGATACATCCAACTGCGAGCCAGAGATGAAGAAGAAGCCATGATGAATAACAAAAGCACGAAGAAGAGTATAACAAAGCTTTGAGATTGGAAGGAGAAATAATTTAGGAAAAGAGTAAAGACGCGTAAATTGATTAGGATATAGCCAAGACAAGTCAAGAAATGCATTTCTTATATAAAATACATGTATTCAGTCATAGTGGACGCCGCAAGTGAGTGTATGGATTTAGAAAAATAAGGAAAAAATACTTTGTTAATGAAACATTAGGTACTAACCGGTACCTAATGATTAATAAGAAAACCGGTAACTGTAGCTTGACTTCACACTTGTTCATGGTTTGCTTCAGATTAAACCATCATGGTACAGAACAGATATTGTGTAGGGTTTCTGTTCTTACAAGTCATTCAATTTTAAGTCAAAAATAATTTAGTGAAATTGTACAGAATGATATGAGGCTGAGTGATACTTGGGGTACGACTGAGTGAATACTGAATTATCTGAGATCAAGAAAACAAAAGAAGAAGCAAGTATCGAAAATGGTCTTCATTTCACATTCATAGGTTCTGTCATTAAAATACTCATCTGATCTACCTTTTGTCCTCCCATCCTTCGATATTGTTATTGTCCCATCTCTCTTCTTCTTGTTCATCTAACAATATCAGGGAAGTAAGAATAAACATAATGAACAACTAAAGTTCTAAGTTAAAGCTTCTAAATAGACCATGGGTTACATTTTACACAGAGTACAAGACCTTGTTGTTAGTGGTGGTCCTGTGAAGCTTGAGACTGAAGAGATTGTTCAGTAAGTAGGAATTGATGGGTCGACCTTGAGAGAATAAGCTTGTATTCCACCAGCCACAGTGTACACACTCTTGAAGCCCTGTGGAACAAGACAAGACAACACATCATGATGTAACAAACTAAAATGATGAGGAGCTGAAAAAGCTTTTTACCTGAGAGTGCAGCCAGTTCGCGACTTTCAACGACCTGCCACCAGCCTTACACTGCATGCATGGGAACAAAGCCACGATTCACAACAAAACTAATTAGATAGGATCGACCTACATCTAAGAGTGAGTTACTAAAATTTTTCAAAGCTTATAAATATGTATAAGCGAATGAGACTTAACATACCATGACGAATGTATCTTTCTCAGGGTTCAGCTTGGAAGTGATTTCTGGCGCCCAGGTTTCAAATTGGCGGAGCGGGAACACTTTAAATCCAGGCAATGATGCTTTGGCTCTGGTATAAGTAGTTAAAACAATACAACAAATAGTGTGAAACCACTCTGGATACTTGTCCTTCTAAGATCAAAGTGTGCGAGGTGCACATATATCTGAATGGCAAAAGAATCAAACTCTACAAAGTACAAATAAAGTATAGTTTTGTAACATGTTTAGAGAGTGTGAAGCTTAATCCATTGACCTCCAGTGAAGAAGAAAAAGTAATGTCAGGATGAGAAATGAAAGGAAACTTACATCTCGTCAGGTTCTCTCACGTCAATTAACTGAGCCTCTTCCATGAAAACTGAATCTTGCATTTTGGAATGCAACTCCTCCACCTGGATATCTTTCACAGGTTCCCTGTCAATACAAATACTTTCGCGTGAAGACAACTTACAACAGTCGGTACCAAACGTGGACTAACGGAGGAGGCTTTTCAGAAGAAATACCTCTCAGATAGAACTTGCAATAAGTGCCAGCCAAATTGGGTTTTACACCTCACAACATGATTCAGCTCTGCTTTAAACGCAGCTTCCTCAAACTCTGGTACCTGGAAACAATTTTAAAGTGGTCTATGTCATTCTCTTATCATAGCGGGAACTTGTCGAAGTTCTTCCATAAGAAAGTCCAAACATTGTGGAATTACTTCTATCATCGATTACATTCTAGTTCCAGTTGCACATGTATGCGCATACTAATAGTTTAAGCAGCAAAAGAAATTATTAAACACCCAATTGCCTGTGAAAACGCAATACCAATATCAATCTCATACCATTTGACCTAATTTGACCCATCCAAGTAAACCACCCTCCTTTTTAGATGGACAAATCGAGTACTCAGCTGCAAGATCACTCATATCCTCTCCTTCACAAACAACAAAAAGTACTCGAGAAAATCATTACTCTTAGAAACAAGTAAAGGTTATCTAATTAAATGAGCTTTAGAACAATGTTCAAACAAAGGACTAATCGCATCTGAATCAAACGGATGAAAAGAGAATTAAGGATTCAATACCATCCAAGATTCTCTTATGGAGCTCGGAAATTAGCTCATAATCACCTTCCTTAACAAGCACATGCTGCACAAGAATCTCTCTAGTTGGACTACTACTCCCACTGCTAAACGAAGCTGTAAGAAGAAACGATACTCATATTCAGAAGCTCGCAATCAAAGTCTTTTAAATACATCAAGTAAGTGGAGAAACAGTTAGATAGATACCTCTCGCTTTGGGAGACGAGAAGCCAGAGAGCCTGATCTGGTAAGGGGAAGGAACGCGTGATCGGAGCGTAGAGAATCGTCCGCCGAGAAATGAACGAGAAAACGTCGAGAACCATCGGGGATGTGGTGGAGGAGATGCGAAAGCAAGAGTGGGAACAACGGAGAGTCTAAGAGCGGCGGAGAAATAAGCTGCCGCCGGAGACGATGCCGCCGAAAGAGGTCCGGTTACTCTAAACATTTTTCGGGGCTCTCAAAGGTAACGAGTTCGAATGTCGCAGAGAGAGTGGTTAGCACTTAACACTTAAGAGTGTAAATGTGGGTCCCACAGAAAATTACTTATTAGCTCACAACTAGGTCTATGCGTTTTTACCCCAACCCAAAGTATCGATCTAAACCCAAACTGAAAAATCGAACCCGGATCTAATCCATTATACAAAACTAACCAAATGGGACTTATGAACCTAGTACTTCGAACTTTGGATATAATTCGAACCAAACCAAAATCCGGAGTAGGATCTGAAGGTATCCGAAATTAGTTAAATATGTTAATATTTTTATATATGTTAAAGTAATTTAGATAGTTTATAATATTCTAAATATTTTCATAGTCTATGTTATATGTTATTTTGAATATATCTTAGCTAATTTAGGTAGTTTAACTAATTTTTAATAATATTTGTGAATAATTTACATATTTTGAATACTATTTGTCAAATTTTTAGGTTTAAAAAATATATATTTTTTGGACGATTTCAAACATTGGTTATAATCTGATCTAAACCGAACTCGAAAGGAACCGAACCGAACACGATTCGATTATTAGCAAAAATCGAATGATACTTATGAGCACAGTATCAAAAATTCAAATCAACCGAACCGAAACCTATTGGAATGGCGGGTTTTTGGCACCAATTACAAAACTTCGTGGAATAAATGTTAAATAGTTTTGTCAAAAAACACTCATCTTTAATACGCTCATATCCATTGGGACTCGAGCCCACTATAGTGTTTACTATGATAGAAATAAAACTAATCACATACAAACTAAAAATAGTCGATAAATATTACAAATAATGAGCTAACTTATTCATTGATTGACAAAAAGGGGATATATGCTACAACGAGATCAAATAACAAACAAACAAACAAAGCTACAAAATCAACATCCTGCCCGTTTTAAGTTGATGGGGGCGAGGGGATAACCGAATCGGGAGTGTGAGATGATGGTGTCCAAGCATATAGAAGCATGCCCAGTACCAGGATCACTGTGCCTGCCACGAACCCTGTTGGAAGTGCAGATGCGACCCCAAGGTACGGTAACGGAAGCGTGAAGAAGTAAACCGCTATGGGCACTGCACATGCACACCAGCACAAGGTTATGTACTGTTAAAAAAAATGCTTATCTTATGTATTCAACTTGATGTTTATTCCTACACCATTCCTTGAAAACAAGTTTGTTGATTCTTGTCTCATAAGATATCACAGAGATGACAGTGTGATAGAGAAGTCGGTTTCCATGATAGAAAAGGCTATGTTATACCTGAAACGGTGGATGCTAGAGACGACACAACAGCAGATGAGGTCTTGATGAGGCGTAGAAGAGAGATGTTGTAAGCCATGTTCATCATTACAAACATTATAGGAAGAAGAGGAGCTCCTTCGCATCCTGTTTCAAAACAAATATTGAATGCTATGAACAGAGGACAAAAAACAACGAGATCTCGAGCAGAAGGAATCAGTAGCAACTAACCTTTTGTTTTAGCACCAATGTTCAGAAAGCAACCACCTCCAACTCTCAGATAGCTTGGTAGTTGGTTAAACGGTATGCCCCAAAGTTTTGGAAGAAGCAACGCTATGCATATGACCTGGATTGAGTTTGACCACATTAGCTGGCAAATAGATGCTAAGAACAGACAACTATCTGACGCTAAAAAACAAACTTACTTGGAAAATTGAACCATATGAGTTTACAACAAAGAGATCAAGTGAAGCTCCCTGTAACAATACAAATTTCTCTTAGAACTTCTTAAAAAAAAACGCAAATGCTGTTGAAGTGTCTCGACGGCTAAATTACCTTCAACCGCTTTTTGCTATCTAGAAAGGTGATTTCCTGCAAGGATATGAAAAAAAATCGTTCAAACAGAAGATCCTAAAATCTTGTAGTGGGAGATATAACTAGCTAATCATTGACAAACCTTCATTACTGTATCTGCTCCTTGAAGCATAAAAGATAATACCATAAGAAGACTCCAAAATCTCTTTTGTAACAATCCCAGCTCGGTATCTGAAACACAGGACAGAAAAGTATACAGCTACGTACCTTAAGAATCAAACGGATGAAATGAGAATTAAGGAATCAAACCATTCAAGATTCTCTTGTGGAGCTCGGCAAAGAGCTCGGAATCACCATCCTTAACAAGCACATGCTGCACTGGAATCTCTCTAGTTGGACTACTCCCACTGCTAAAAGAAGCTGGAAGATGTGTCCAACTATTAAGTACATCCAGATATTGAGAATCACTGGCGTAACCCAAACGATTACTACTCAAGACATTCTCTGCTTTATACTGGAGAGCTGCTTCTCTTAACTGACTGAAAAGACTCTGGACCTAAGTGAGTCTTTTTAATACTCTTTTGTATCTGATTTTGCTTTCTTCTTTCGGTAATTGAAATAAAGACATCCGTCTTCTCAAACCTTCACCATAATCAGCAATTTCCTCTTTGTCATCATCATCAGCACTTTCAACTTTGTTACCATCATCAGCACTTTCCTCTTTGTCATCACCATCATTATTATCATCATCTTTATTTCCGTCAAGAAGTCGTACACCACAACCTTTACCCTCCCAGTTTGCACCATGAACTGTGAATACAAAAGAAAGTTCACTGAAAGTGGCTTCAGGACAATCCTGGTTTAGACAGAAAGAATCTTCAAATATATACAGAATGCCGGCAAATTCTTCATATCCACATCGATATCGAATAGGGTGTTTATCTGATCTATATTCCATAGTGAGTCCATTCTGTTTACCCCTTACGCAAAAAGACATATCTGTTGGCACAAATTCACGCACATGTCTGTGTGACAGCAATATGCAAGCTTTGAATCTGACGGAGGAAGGAAGATGTCTTGGAGTCAGATTGATCCTTAGAGAACCTGAAATACCTCGGTGGGGGAAGTATACAGGCACTTCTTCACCCGGTAGGAGCGCATATTTGCAAGTTGATGTCATGATGAGCTTTCTAGTTTCTTGATTCAGGTTGTAGCACATTCCAAAGTTTAGGCAAATCTTTGGATATTGAAAAGAGGAGGAGTCTATTCTCTTCAAGGATCTACAGTCTTCTGCATCTATAGAATGAAGAGAACCTGGAAGCAGTGGAAGTGCTACGAGCTCTTTGCATCCTGAGACGCTTAGCTCACTTAGTCCGGACATACGGATGATGCAATCTGGAATAGTCTTGACACCATCACCGTAGAAATATAATGATATTGGAGATGAAAGAACCTTCTCGGGTAGACATATTGGCAAAATGTAGTCAATTTTGAAGGTTGTTTCTAAACCCCAACGGCGATTCAAGTCAGGCCCCCAATTGATTATTGCCCTGAAGCTCTCTGTATTATCTTTAACACAATCACGATAAACATGGTTACACAGAGTAAGATCCTCAAGATTCTCCAACTTAGAAATGTTTGGAGATATCTTTTTCAGCTTCTTGCATCCATCCATAATTAGGTTGCTCAGACGAAATAACTTTCCAATTGATGGAGGAATCTCCTCTATCCCTGTACCGGACAACCACAATATTACAATACTGTCTGGAACATTTGGGAACTTCTTTAGGTTTATACACAAGGACATATCTAATTTATATAGACAAGACCAAGTGCTCACTGATGATGGCACTTCCTCTATCGCAGTATCGCTCAGATTGAGTTCTTTCAAACTCGAGCAACCACTGAGTTTTTCCAAAATCGAGAAAATATTGAGTGCTTTCAAACTCTGGCAACCACTGATGTATAGTTCCTCGAGATTGACTAACCTACCGATAGAAGAAGGGAGCTCTTTCAAAAGCTTGCAATTGCTAAGGTTGCAGATTGTAAGCTTAGTTGCATTGCCAACAGAGCTTGTGATCTCTAACAAACTTTTGCATTCACGGAGATTTAATTTCTCGAGACTCGTTGCTTTTGAGAGATCTGGAATCTCTTTCAGATATCGAGAGCAACTCAAATCCATCAGCTTAAGGCAATGGAGAGGCTATTTCAAAAACAAAACAAAGAAATATGAGTTTTTGAAATGCCGATCGTGCTTTACATGCAATACAATGCCAAAAAAAAACAGAATATTCTTACTATGATTCCCTCCCAAAGCTTCTTAAATTTGCTATACTGCATGATTAGTTCGACAAGAAACTTGCCAGAGAACTTGGAAGGCCAAAATCTCAATGGACAGTCCTTCCAATCTATCAGTCTGAGCTTGTCGGGTAGACAGTTGAGGCCCTCGGATGTGCATAACTTTTGGTGAGGATAGATTTTTAGAAACCGGAGATTGGTCATCCCATCGAAAGCGTTTTTACTTATTTGGATTTCCCTCTTTGAAGTAATCAACTTTATGCCTAGAATTTTTCCAGTACCCTAGAATATATAATTAAAAAAGATAACTAATAAATCTTAGCTTAAGAACCCAAGGAAACTGAAGACTGATGATGTAAAGAACAAAGAAAGAACTTACAGAACTTTCTTCAAGTACATCACAAATTTCCGTGCTATCCCACAAGAACTGTCGATTTCCAGGCTCCTCCAAAGACTCTTTCTTAACAATTTCTCTACCCAATTGTTTCAGCAAACTATGCATCTGTATGGTAGCGAATTGTATTGATATAAGAGATTTATCAGCTAAGACTTGAAGCCCATGGTCAACATCCAAACCACAATTTTCAAGATGCATCTTAACATTCTCAAGCAAGGAATATCCAAAGAAACATGCAATATGCAGGAAAATAGCTATATCTTTTTCAGTTAAGCCGTCGTAGCTGAATCTTAGAGTTGATTCAATTTCTCTGTCAAGGCTAGACCTAAGCCTTGGTAGTGCGTCTATCCACTCCTCCCTGGCCATTCCTCGTAGATACGATCCCATGACTCTCAGGCCTAGAGGAAGATCACCAGCAAGTCCAGTAACTTCCTTAGCAAGTTCTTTAAAACCTTTGTTTGGGGACTTATGATCGAAAGCATATTGGCAGAAGATCTCGAGAGCCTCATCATCAGTTGGAAATTTCATCTTGTAGATATGATTGATCCCCAATCTGAGTTGCTTGAGAGGTTTTCTATCTTCGGTTGTGATGATAATAATACTTCCGGGACCAACCCATCCACACTGCTTTGACATCTCCTCTAGTTGCCACCAGCTATCCACTTCATCAAGAACAACCAACACCTTTTTGTCATTCAGCATTTCTTTAGCCACTCCTAAGTGTTGAACCTCAATATCCCTTTGATTGAGTAGTTGAGACAACAAGTTTTTCTGCAAACACAACTTCAACTGATAGTCGTTACCACATGGCTTCTCATAACTTCCTCTGATATTCTCCAAAAAAGTGTTGAATGGAAAATCAGGAGAGAGTTGGTTGTACAAAACTCTGGCAATGGTTGTCTTACCAATCCCAGCAGGACCCAAAATCCCAATCACCTTGACTTGTTCTGATTGTATGCTCAACAAAGAATTTATCTCCGTGATTTGAGGTCTTATGCCAACAAAGTCATCAAAATCTTTTGATGGTGTGAAACCCAAAACAGCCCTGACATCTGAGGCAACTTTGTTGATCATTTCAGCTTCATTGTCACTAACAAAATCAGAGGTGTTCCATTAAAACATGAAAAGTAACTACGCCTAATAAGCACATTGAAGTAAAAAAGGAACGAACCAGTTGCTAGAGTGGTAACCAGCTATACCCGCGACATCCTTCAAAGCTTGCTTCCATGCTTGCTTCACCTCTTCTGTTGTTCCCACACAGGTTTCATCAAAGGCCTTTCCGAAATCTCCGATCTGCTTCCTAACATCAGATGGATCCACTTCGTAGAAAATGGTCATCACTGTTTGACTAACCTCTTCCCTGCACGTCATGATTTCCACCAACTCGTCCAGACACCAACTTGAAGAAGCGTAGTTACGGGAGAGCAAGACAACGGCCACCCTTGATTGTCTGATGGCTCCTATGAGCTCGGGACCAACAGATTCGCCTCGCTTGATCTTGTTATCAATGAAAGCAATGATTCCCTTTCTCTTGAGCTCTTTTATAACGTGACTAAGAAAGCCTTTGCGCACGTCTTCGCCACGGAAGCTCAGGAAGAGGTCATACTTGGAGTTGCAAGACAGAGACGAAGAAGAAGCCATGAATAAAAAACAGCAAAAAGAATATGATCACAGAGCTTTCAGATTGGAAGGAGAAATAGTTTCAGAAAAGAGTCAAGACGCGTAAACTGGTTAATGAATGATACACAGCCAAGTCAAGTCAAGAAATTACTTTTTATATAAAATATTTGTAGTCAGTCCATAGTGGGAGCCGAAGTAATTGTATGGATTTAGAAAAATAAGGAAACGATACTTTGTTAATGAAACGTTAGGTAAGACGAAATAATTGAAGTAGATTAATAATTTAATATTGACAAAGAAATGATTACTAACCATTCACTGTAGTTTGACTCCACAACTGTTCATGGTTTGCTTCAGATAGATAAGGCATTATCGTACAGAACAGAGAAATTGTACTACAACATGGGGTAAGACTGAGTGGAACCAAATGTCGAGAATGTGATTAGAAAAGGGGCAATGGTGGTGGACAGTTACAGAATAATATGAGATCAAGAAGAAAAAAAGCAAAGTCGCGAATGTTTCTTCCTATCACATTCTATAGTGTTTTTCATCATATGATCTAATACCTTTTCTCCTAACAGAATACTCAGCTGCAAGATCACTCATAACCTCTCCTCCACAAGAAAACAATTACTTGAAAATCATAATACAAATATATAAAGTTTTGAGAGATGAGAAGCCAGAGAGCCTACTCTAGTGTGGGGAAGGAATGTGTGGTCTGGGCGTAGAGAACCATCGAGGATCTGGAGGAGGTGCGAAAGCGAGAATGGGAACAACAGAGCGGCGGAGAAACGTGTTACCACCGGAGATGATGCCGCCGAAAAAGTTCCGGTGACTCTATACATGTTGGGTCTTTTAAGGGTGTAGATGTGGGTCCCATAAAAATTACCTTTTAGGATCACAACTTTTAAGTATTTCGCGGAATGTTGGGTTTTGTTTGTACCAATTGCAAAATTTCGAGGAATAAACATACATTAAATTAGTTCTGTCAATTGTCCAAACTCTTATCTCTAATATGATCATAATCCATTGGGATTCGAGCCTACCATAGCGTTCCTATGATAGAATCAAATACAAACTAATAATAGTCGACAAATGTTACAAAATAATGAGCTAACTTATTCCTTGATTGACAAAAAGGGCATATATGCTACAATGAGATTAAAATAACAAACAAACAAAGCTACAATACAAAACCCAATCTCCTGACCCGTTTAGGTTGATGGGGGCGAGGGGATAACAGAATCGGGGGTGTGAGAGGATGATGGTGTCCAAGCATATAGAAGCATGCCTAGTACAAGGATCACTGTGCCTGCCACGAACCCTGTTGGAAGTGCAGATGCGACTCCAAGGTACGGTAAAGGAAGCGTGAAGAAGTAAACCGCTATGGGCACTGCACAGACAAAGCCAACACAATGTTATGTACTGTTAAAAAGTGTTTCCTCTGTATTACAAAGATATCACAGAGATGATTGTGTGATTGACAGAGAAGTAGGTTCCAAAAAACATGCCAAGGCGCTATTATTAGGAGATGAATGTTGTACCTGAGACGGTGGATGCTAGAGACGACACAACAGCAGATGAGATCTTGATGAGGCGTAGAAGAGAGATGTTGTAAGCCATGTTCATCATTACAAACATTATTGGAAGAAGAGGAGCTCCTTCGCATCCTGTTGTCAAAACCAACCGAGCTTGTTATATGCTATGCACAGAGGACAAAAACAAGGAGATAATCGAGCAAAAGGCATTCGTATCAACTAACCTGTTGTTTTAGCACCAATGTTCAGAAAGCAAGCACCTCCGTCTCTGAGATAGCTTGGTAGTTGGTTAAACGGTATGCCCCAAAGTTTTGAAAGAAAAGGAAGAAGCAACGCTATGCATATGACCTGGGTTGAATTAACCACAGAAACATGCACATTAGCTACCAAATAGATGCTAAGAACAGAAAATGATCTGATGCTAAAAAAGTAAAGGGCACTTACTTGGAAAATTGAACCATATGAGTTTACAACAAACAGATCAAGAGAAGCACCCTGTAACAATATGAAATTTCTTTCAGAACTCAGAAAATTAACCCGCAAATGCTGTTGAAATGTCTCGACCACGTAATTACCTTCAACCGCTTTTTGCTATCTAGAAAGATGATTTCCTACAAGGATATGAAAATTACTGTTAAAAGAGGACATCCTAAAATCTTGTAGTTGGCGAGATAACTAGCTAATCATTGACAAACCTTCATTACTGTATCTGCTCCTTGAAGCATAAAAGATAATACCATAAGAAGACTCCAAACAATTCCAGCATCTTTAAGTGAATGAGCGGCCCCCGATCCACTGAACATGCAAGAGAAAAATTACTACTTAAACCCAACATAGATGATATATGTTGTTAAACTAGCTACGTTGTGTCCTTTGACAAGTCTAACAAAAGGAAAAAAAGACAAATAAGCTAAGTCACTTCAATATCGAGTAAGTTAAGCGAGCTAGCTAACCTTGCCACACTGACGATTACACCAATTGCTACAAGAACACATCCGAATATTTGATTTATTCTATATCTCCTCCCGAGAAAAATCATGGAGAATATAATTTGCCAAATAAGAAACGTCTGCAAAGCAATAAAACGACTAGAATTAACTCTAAAGCATTTTGTCAGAGAAAAAACCATGTTTTTCTAGCAGCTATAATGCAAGAAAAACAGAGTTTTGAGGGAAGCGGCTTTTGACACACCAGAACAAAATTTAGGATAATCAATGTTGTACTATGAGCATATGGAAGATAGAGACAATAATGTTTTAAGCTTCTAACCTGAGATAAAACTGTAGTCGATGGTCCAGAGAGATTTGCTGAGTCAATAAAAAACGAGAGTAAGCAAGACAAACAGGGTTAATTTTCATGCATTGCATGCATTTATAATGTTTAGATATAATTTCATCCAACAGAATCACAGATAGAAGTATACAGTATAAAACGGGAAAGGGAAAGAAGTGGGGTAGAATCAATGTAAAGATACCTGCAGCAGCCATCCCAGAAGTTAAAGCAAGAGACTCTAAAATGCCAACGACTAAAAATGGAATTTTCGGAACTGATAGCATCTCTTTTGTGACAATTCCAGCTCGGTATCTGAAATACAGGATAGAAAAGTATACAGCTACATACCTGCAAGGAGGAAATGGAAAAGAGAAATTATTTTTTGTAAATTATATCTGTTAATAGTGTAAAACAAGATACATTCAGGAATAAGTATGTGCATATGACAACAAACTGTGGGTTTGTCCACAATGAACAACTAAACCAAACTTCAAGCAAACTTTCTTATTCTACAAGCATGTGGTACAAGAGCTTATAACTAAAAGGGTAAAAAGATGAGCTCTCTGTGTCCAAAAACAAGCTGTGAAAAACACATTACAGAGGTAAATGGATCCATCGAGCACAGATCCCCCATATATACATTTTCTCTCCCGAAATTTTAAGCATATAAGTACACAATCCAGAGTGAATAACTCATACACCGCTAGTGTCCAACATATATTTTTTGTCCTTTGAAAGCAAGCCAACAATCAAATACTCCATACTAACTTGCACACACCAGTCCATATGTGCAAAAAATAGTGAGAGAGGCGTGCGCAAAATTAAAAATAAAAACAATGTGAATGAGACGTGGTTCAATAAATTCAGATAAGGGAAAGTATTTGTAACACGATCGAGTCTGGTTTCATTAAGTCACTGCAGAACCAACGAAAAAGTCATTTAACACACTAATAAAAAAAACTACTCTCAAGTAGGTGACCAAGAGAAACTGGCACGTGATAAAAGGTAATATACAGTACCCATTGATAAAAATAAAGTGTTTTATCAAGTGGTCGCCAACTATGACCCATTTGATAAAGGGAATCTGGTGAAAATTACATATTTTATACCATACGAATATTTGGCATTTGACTTATAGCAATAATATTATTTATACCAACTTCCACACATCGAACAATCTTCAAAGGTTCCCATTCAGCAACCGTGAATAGTAACAAAAATTTATGTATCTATACATTTTTGTTACCCCATGAATAGTATAACAAAAATATTTACATATACCTATGTAACTATACTATACGTTTTTGTTGCTATTTGAATCTCATTCTGAATATAGTTGTCAGGCACGTGAATATAATCAAACTCAGAAAACAACAATTTGAGATCTAAACTTAAACCTAATCAAACTCTCATACTAACTTTAGTCACTAGAGAAAATATATCATTACCCGAAAGTGGAAAGCTGAGCGAGGAAGAATGGATACTGCTTGAGAGGAACAAGCGCCAGCTTATACATAACACGATTCCCCACCCCCAGCGCCGCTGTAACCGCCGCCGCAATAACTATCTCCGTCGTCTTGTCGTGTTTCCCCGCGACCACGGGGGAATCAGACTTCTTCTTCTCCTCCTCCTTGGTGACTTCGAAATCGTCAGATCCGTCCCAGAACTTCGCGGAAGGGACGGCCTCGATTGACCATAGCCTGGAGGACCGTTGAGATGAGCGGAGGAGGAGAGGCGGAAGGAGTTTTATTTGATTTCGACAGATTAGGGAGATTGATTGAGGTGGTGGTGGATTCGCATTGCGGCGTTTGATTGAGCTCATCGAGACCGTTGAACCGGCGATTAACCGGCCGGAGCTCGTCGCCATGGTTTGAGCAGGTTCGATGGAGAGAGAGATTAGCAACGATGAGATAGTAAGAGAGAGAGGGGTGGGAGGAGAGGTGTAATTGTGTCGACTACTTTATACTCACATCACACGAAACGAAACTACCTCCTGAGCTACGTTTTTTATTTTGTTTGGGGCCAATTTGTAAAGTTTTTTTTCTTTTGAGGACAAGTTGTTAAGTATTTTTTTTCTTTGGTATAGATCACAATTTCTTTTCCAAATTCAACAAGAAAATGATATTTTATTTTCGATAAATAAAAAAGTTTATTAATTAGAACATCTCTAATATATGCCTCTATATTTTTTTTTAGAATAGAGATATAAGTAATAGAAGTGAATTTGTTCCAATATATATTTTTACAATATAGTTATTCTATTTTAGAGGAAAATAAAGACAAAATATATTTTTATTTTATATTTAGTGATGAACATAAAATATATATATTAAAAAGAGAAAATGACTAGAATAGATCTAAACAATTAAAATGACCAAAATAACACTTAATTGTTTTATTAAATATACATTTATATCCTAGGGTAATCGTAGATTTTTTTTGTTTAGAGTTAAAGAGTGAAGTTTTGGGGATAGAGTTTCGAATTTTTAAAAATTAAAAAAAAAAACTTAAAATTTTCAAAATAAAAAATGTTATTTTTGTTATTTTAATTTTTGAGGTCTATTTTGAGATAAAAACTTAAAAGTGTTATTTGAGAGAATTTCCCTATTAAAAAAAATAGAAAAAATCTGTTATAGAAGTATACATTGGAATAAACCCAAAATTATCTATTTCAAAGAAAACTATAGAGATGAGAAGATATGGATTGGAGGTGATCTAAGTAGATTAGCACATAGTTGATAAAACAAAACAAAAAAGGTAGAGATGAGTATACCACCTGTGCTACATTTTGTGTGTTTTACTTTTTCTTCTCTAAAATAATGACTTCTCCTTTTCAAATCACATTGTGATTCTTCTATTCAAATCACATTGTGACGCGCGCAGCCAAGTCATCTTGTGACCGCGTAACCAGATCACATCGTGGCGGTGTAGCCTTCATGGCTCCTCTAATCTCCTCCAACACCTGGACGTTAATACATGATGACATAGTATAAAACATTCTTTTCGGCATGAATTAAATTAGGAATGTAAAAGATCCAACTCTTTGGACTAAATCATTACCTAACACATTGTTGGTGGTATAGCTTTAGATCTCCTATTAGAAACGGGCCCTCAGCTAAGGTTGTGGGTGATGTGGCATAAGTTGAGTTTATCATCTACGAACCAATCGAAATCAGATTAGTTTGATAATACAACTTAAATACGTAATCAAATTATGGTGGGCTAATGGTGGTTCTCGTGTTAAGGAAAAGTTGTCTTATAAGTTCACACAAATTGACATCTTTGACATTTTTCAAAGATGGAATTAGCTAACACTTTTTATTCGACAAGTTAAAACGTTGTCCCACTTAGTTTTTCTTTAGAAATCTGGCTTTTGGACTACTTACCCCTACATTCACCTATGTTAAAAACTCTGATTGTCACCTAATCCTATACAAAAAAAAAACTAAAATATGTGGTTGCACCTTACAACTTAAGGACATGGATTTATTATAGTACGTAGTATTGTTTTGGATACATTAAGGATATCTCACAATCATATTATGTAATGAGTTGTCATTGAACAACTCAAACGTTGTACGATGTATTTAATTCTTCATTATCAATCTGTTGTCAATTTTGTTTTGAAATCCCCATGTATTAATTAGTATATGAATTTGTAATTGATCGGTTGTGCATGATGTAGGTTAAAAGTTTAGTTTGATTTATTAATTTATTAAAACAAGGTTCATACTGTGTGTTCTATTCTACTCCCATGCATTATTCTATTTCCATGCATTGAATCCATATGCAGCCATCAAACTTGATTCAATGGTGTCCAACGCCTTTAAAATATTTGTAAAAGTTTGTATGTATATCAAAGTCCGATTATTAAAATATTTTTTGCACTATAAAACGATAGTAGTAATTAAGTAGTAACTAACAGCAAGCAAAACTATAGCCACCATTTTTGACACATATTTGTCAAAATACACGTTTTCCGTTTGATAAGATAAAATAAATAGACAAAAATGGGTGGATCCTTACTATATTTCTGTTATAAAAGTATCAATAATTTTCATCGTTAGCTTTTGGATGTAAACTATAACCAAACTTTGTGATATGTGACAAATCAAATGTTTAATACTGTTGCTTTCCGAAACACGTGAGCTCATTTTGTGTTTCTTTTATTTTTGGACTAAAAGTCATGTTGTATTTTGATCTTCAAAAGAAAGTTCTTGCTCTACCTAGATGATGAGTACAATTAGTAAATACAAAAACATGACACATTCACAAATATGAATACGATTAACGGTGTGATACAGTTATACAAAACTGAACACAAAAATTTATGAAAAAGGACGAATAAATCTTGCATCAAACATATACAACATCTGTTATGATCCCCCAGAGCCTGAGCTGAGCCCTGCCAAGATGTGAATGAAAACATTTGCGTGATAAATTGCATTGTGTTACCACAATTCAAGATTGGAGATCAGTCCATCTTTTTTATATATCAATAGATAGATAAATACAAGGCCAGTCCAAATTTTTGTGGCCAAAAATAAATTTAAATTTCAACAAAGTTTTAATTTTTTTTCAAAATTATAAATAACATTTTGTAATTCTTTTGTCAAGAAAACGAAATATACATAAAATACCCCATCAAATTAAAATTACTAACCAAAACAAGTGTCCCCATATGGTTGCACCACTTGTGCACACTAAGCCGGCCTAGATGAATAGTTAATCAGAAAGTAGATTATTTAGCGTTTACTTACAAGGGACTAATGGAGTCGTAACGAGTGGAACTAAACTAAACGCATCACCTAATCCAAAAAAAAAAAGATCATACCAGCCGTTGCTGATGTGGAGCACAGTGATTGGTTGAATTGAATTAAAATACGACTTAAGTCTAACAAGACCCGACCCGTGACTTCCCCGACACTCATGGCCCCCCAATCTCTTTCTCTCTCTCTTATTACACAACAGAAGTAGCTGTAAAGCAATGTCCTCTCCTCTTCTTTCCTCTATCTACACCTAAAATCTCCTCTGCTCTACATCTCGCGACGGAGCCACGGAGGATTTCAGCGACGGCTAATTGGCGGCGGCACTGTTGCGTATAATAACTCTTCAATTTCTCGAAGGAGGAGAGGAGATTAGGTTTTGTATCTTTCTATTGAGGTGAAATTCGAGACCCTTGCCAATTCGAGGCTTGGATCTGAAAATTATGCTGTTGAGGCAACAATGGAGGCTTCTTTAGCTGCTTTGGAGCGGCCACGAGGTGCTGCTTCTAATACGGTAATGGAGTTTACTTCTCGGTATACATTTCATCTGACTAAATTTATTTTCATAGTTATTGTTTAGTGGTGTTCCATGTCTTTGTCCGAATTTCGGTTATCATGGAGTCTAAAATTGCTAAAAGAAGACAAGTCTTATTGTATACGATTGGAATTTGGTAGATTGTATTCTCCACGTTAATATAAGAATAGTGATTCTTCTTCTAGGAATCTCATGATACACAGGGCCTTTGATTAGTAGTGTGGAAAGCTCTGATTAGCTGTTTGGTCCGTGATTGCTTATGTGCTTTTTAACCAAACACTCTAATATCCGTGCTGGTGGGAGTTATATAGTAACCGTGTTGAGTACATTTCCATAATACCAATTATCGAAAGAGAAGCTTTGATTGAACGATATATAATAGCTTTAGTGATTTGTTAGAACTGGTAGAGGCGTATAAAGAGAGATATTAGGGAGATGGGGTGGTTTACTCTTTGCTGAAGTTTCAAAATGCGCACAAAAATAATAATTTGTGGAAGTGTGTTTAATTTGGCTTATTGAGTAACATGCCGATTTTGTGTTGATGATATTTGTGGATGTCTAGTGCCTAATATGAACTGAAAGCAGTTTTAAAAAAAGAAATTGGTTACTTTATTTCTGTGCAGCTACTGATTTTCTCTGGTTTTTTTTAAATGTAGAATTTAGTAATTAAGCTCCTGGCTGTTACTAATATTTGTGTAACTCGCAATTGTATGACAGGTTTATAAGAGTGGTCCACTTTTCATATCCTCCAAAGGTATCCTTGTGTCCCTATCTTCTATTTAAGTGGTCACATTTCACTATGTCCGTTCACTTTTTTTCAATTCCCTGTGCTATTGGGATAGCATAAGTGAATTTAACGTTTTATTTTGGTATTTTGCTCAATAGGATTGGGTTGGACGTCCTGGAAGAAACGCTGGTTCATCCTCACACGTACTTCTTTGGTCTTCTTCAAAAATGACCCTGTTAGTATTACAACAATACTGCTTTTCCCCACCCATTGATTTTGATTTCACGAGAATCATATATATTGAGCTCTGTAACTAAATGTTCACAGGGTACGCTACCACAAAAAGGTGGTGAAGTTAACATAACTCTAGGTGGCATCGACTTGAATAACTCTGGAAGGTACGCCCAATAATATCACTAATTGATTAGAAAACTACATGGAATTCAACTCACAGTGATTTTTTGTTTACAGTGTTGTGGTACGAGAGGATAAAAAATTACTGACAGTTTTATTTCCGGATGGGCGTGATGGAAGAGCTTTCACTCTTAAGGTGCTTCAACATAATCCCTAGATGTCTACTCTAAGAACCAATCTTTGTGCTATTGTTAATTTCTCTTTTTGGATGATGCAGGCTGAGACATATGAAGATTTGTACGAGTGGAAAAACTCCCTTGAGCAGGCCCTTGCACACGCCCCTAATGCAGCACTCACCATGGATCATAATGGAATATTCCGTCCTGAAAGTAACGAGGCTAACGAAGGTTCCTTTCATCAATGTTTTGCTCTAATCCATGTTACAGCTTTGGCATAAGCATCTTACATCTATGCATAATTGCTAGGGCGGGATAAGCGTCCATCAAAATCATTGGTTGTTGGAAGACCAATCTTACTTGCTCTTGAAGATATTGATGGAAGCCCATCGTTCCTCGAGAAAGCTCTTCAGTTTATTGAGAATTATGGTAAGTTCTTGAGGTTTATTGATTGCCTGGTCTTCCCTAAATTGTGTTCTTTGAATGCATTATTGTTTAAACTAATTTATTTTGTTTTTGCGATCTTTTGTCTCCTTAGGAACTAAAATTGAAGGAATATTAAGACAGTCTGCTGATGTGGAGGAGGTGGAACGTAGAGTTCAAGAATATGAACAAGGTACCAATACCAACTGGTTTCTCTCCAATTAAGTTTTTAAGCACATCTTTTCATGCTAATATAATATGTTCTCAGACTTCCTTGGTACTTAAGATATATGCTCCCTCTAATACAAAGCTTACACATCTTTCCTTCTTCCTCTCCACACAATACATAGGCAAAACTGAGTTCGCTTTCGATGAAGATCCGCATGTTATTGGAGACTGCATTAAGGTAGTTTCTTCTCAACTTCTGATTCTGTTAATTTGTGCCTTGCTACAATACTAAGGTAATTTCATTTTACTTGCAGCATGTATTGAGAGAGTTGCCTTCTTCTCCAGTCTCAGCATCTTGTTGCACTGCCCTGCTGGAAGCTTACAGTGAGTTCCCTTACCTTCGTTTCCTTCCTTTCGATGAAGTCATACTTGTGGAGTGGAGTTCAGTAAATTGGATGTCCTTTTAATTGGTTTTGTTGGATCAGGAATCGAGTCTAAGGAGGCTCGCATTAGTTCATTACGCTCTGCTATGGCGGAAACATTCCCTGAACCTAATAGACGTCTACTACAACGGTATGTTACAATATCAAATAACAGTTTTTAAGATATATTAGAATACTTTAGAAGGTGATTTCTTTAAACCATACATATTTGCGTTGTACCCTTCAGGATTTTGAAAATGATGCATACTATCTCATCTCATTCCCACGAAAACCGAATGAACCCATCTGCTGTAGCTGCTTGCATGGCTCCCCTGCTCTTACGTCCTCTACTCGCTGGTGAATGTGATCTAGACGACGAGTTTGACAGTGGTGAAGACAACTCTGCTCAGCTTCTTGCTGCTGCTAATGCTGCCAATAACGCTCAAGCCATCATCACTGCTCTCCTGGAGGATTATGGAAGCATTTTCGATGTAAGACAGCTCTCAGATAGTTTCATTAAAAATTTGATTGATGTTGTATGTCTTATATATGCTTATCTGCAATTTTTTTTCAGGAAGAAAATATTCAAAGATGTTCCATTTCGACAGAATCACATATTGGAGATAGTGGACCTGATGAGTCTAGTGATGATGACAACAACCTGAAAAATGGATACCGGAATGAAGAGAATGAAGTAGAACCAGTGACAGATGATGATGATGATGATGATGATAATGAGCGTGCGTTGAGTGGGAAAATGAGTGAGAGCAGTGGAGGCACATGCAGCGATCTCTATGAATACAAGGTTAGTTCTCTTTTTACCAGTTTGAGCTCTCTCTTCCTTCAATACACTCACGTATCTATGCCAAGTTCCTATTCCTGCTATTTTCTAATGAATTAGAGTCTAGAAAAACTAATTATTTCATGATTGCTTAAACCACCTTTTTTTGTAGGGATTTGTTGCTGATGACTCTGATATTGAATCACCGAGAGAGATAAATGGTCCAACACGTAATTCAAACGTACGAACAGATCATCTTGTGAGAAATCCTTTTGTCAACTCCACGGATCAACCAGCTGGAGAGCAGCTAACAAAATATGGAGAAAACTCACGTCTTGTAAATGTCAGCGAGTCTTATCAATCAGGAAACACTTTAGCTTCTCCTGGTCTTGAATCATCAAGTGAGAAATCCGTGAATAAGGGCACTCCCTCGACTGTTCATACAAAGCGTGCAACATTCTGGGGTCGAGGCAGTGTATGTGTTTGCTTATCTTTGATCAAAATAGTTCTGATTCTGTAGATTTGACTCTCAAGAAAGATACAAAACTCTTTTCCTCCAAATTTGTTACAAGTGTCACGCTTGCAGAATCATTTAACATTTTGTTTCCTCTTTGTTTGTCACAGGCCAGAAAACTATCCACAGATGGATCATTTGATTCTTCAGGAGAAGACGAGTAAGACTTTCCTCTATATATATATTATTTCTATGTTGTTGATCTATGCAATATTGTATTACACTAGCTTGGTGTTTTTGTGGTACTAATTGGTTAATCAATTGTTTGTAGGCTTGCAATACAAAGACTCGAGACCGCAAAAAATGAACTGCGACAACGAATTGCAAAGGAGGTAATCAATCACCTGCTGCTGAAAATTTTATTTTTCTGACTTCATAGAGTCATTAACACGGGTCACCATTATTGTTACAGGCCAGAGGTAATGCGATATTACAGGCTAGCTTGGAGAGAAGGAAGCAAGCACTTCATGAACGTCGTTTTTCGCTTGAACAAGATGTATATATATGAATCCCTTCTCTCTACAGTTTAGCCTGAAGTCAAATAAATCTTTCTTATGGTTTGATGTGGAATACTAATATAGGTGTCAAGATTACAAGAGCAGTTGCAAGCCGAGAGAGATCTCCGGGCAGCACTGGAGGTTGGTTTGAGCATGTCTTCTGGACAATTTACTTCACATGGTGTGGATTCGAAAGTAAGTATTACATCTTTAAGGAAATGGTATTTTTCTTTGATACATTTTTTGAAATACTAACGATCCATGTTTGTGTATTTGAAGACAAGGGCTGAGCTTGAGGAAATTGCTCTTGCTGAGGCTGATGTGGCAAGGCTGAAGCAGAAAGTCGCGGAACTTCACCATCAGCTTAACCAGCAACGTCAGACTAACTTAGGTTCTTTCACTGATGCCCGTGACAATCATCAGTTTCTCCAGAATCATAATATTCAAAAGTGAGTTGTATTCAGTATCCCTTTAATTAGATTAAATTATCTACTATAAATCTACAAACTCAGTATAATCTATAAATTCTTTCTGCTTTAATACCATGTTATGTATTTCTGTAGAAGGTTTCTTCAGCAAGATTTCGATTCCACTCTTGCCTTTGTAAACCATGAAAGAAAACAAAGACACGAGGTAACTTTTACTGATGTTTCTCTCACATGAATCAGCGTCTTTCATAGTTAAGATTAAACCAATAGAGTTGTACTTTTTGATCTGCAGGAGAATACACTGGGAGCAGAGTGGAGAAACAGTAAAGGAGCAGGATCTTTTGGTGTTGGCAATAGCAGGCAACCATCATCTCGTAAGCAGATACCAGAGTCAACAAGCATGGTCGACTCTAGAAGCAGTGAAGATTCTGGAAAGATGTCTGTAGACAAGTTCTCAGCCATAGATCCTCCCTCTATTTCGTCCACTTCAAGAGCACTAGATGTAAGATCTTCACCTCATTATTATCATTCTCTTGACTAATCATTCTCTCTATCAACTTCAAAATAAAAGTTTATTAATTAGTTTCACAGAAGAGTTAGTTGCAAAGAATGGTAACGAGAGAGACATGTATGATTTGCACACTAACATGTTTAATAATGAACGGTCTGTTTGGCAGATAACAGAGTACCCAAGTGTTAATCATCCGTCAGCGGCTGCATCAGCAGCATTGGTAGAGTTAACAACTCGACTTGATTTCTTCAAGGAAAGACGGTCGCAGCTAATGGAGCAGCTGCAGAACCTGGATCTCAACTACGGAGGCACGTCTGCTTCTTCTCAAGATTTCATACACCGGCCATCTTCCCCACCATGGAACTAAACAGTATGAGAAAGAAAATAAAAGTCTTGAGTTTGCTCTGTGTATCCTTTCTTCTGAGAAGACAAGAATGACATCATTCTTTTTGTGTAACTGTGTGTATATAAGATACCATTTTTTTATTTTTGTTAAACATAATTTGATGTGAGATTGATTTTGTTCATAAAGTGTTAACAACTTAATATACATGTTGATCTCTTTATGTTGTGAGCAGGTAATTAAGTGAAAGTCCCTTGAGTATTCAAATATCGTAGAAATTTTATAAACTAATATTCCGATAAAGTAATACATATCATAAATTAAATAATTTATCAGTTTTTTTTAAATTAGGTCATTATAAAATATGATTTAGTTTAATAAAATAATAAGATAATTAATTTTTTGAAAAAACTTAAGTACATATAGTCTCAATACTAACATTTAATTGGTAACTAGTGTAGATAAGATTTATATCAATTATAATAATATAGATATTTTACTTTTTATTCACTATGAAGTTTATCTTTATTTTTTCTATTTTTTTCACATATATTGATGTTATTTTAATTTTACACCTAAAATTCTTTTATTTTGATGGTACATACTTGTATACACCAAATAAATAATTGAAAAATAATATAAAATTTGTATCTGCAAATATTAATTAATACATACACCTTAAATGAAGTATGTTTTCTTATTGTTTTCATAAAAACACATTTTAGAATAAATAAATTTTTAAAAATAAAATTTCTGTAAATTTATAATTCTAGAAATTATTAAATTATCAATATTATTAATTTATAGAGACTTAAAACTGAATCGATTTTCTTAGAAAGTTTGATATTAGGATATGTAGTCTTGAAATTTCTGTTCTTTTATTTAAATATATTTCTTGTTTAAGGGAAAAAAATCTCAAGAAACTCATAACTAGAGGAAGGAATATTTAATGTAAAAAAAAAAAAATTAAAAAACTCCGAAATAAAAGAAAGAAAAAAAGTGAAAACAATAAGAGAAAAGGAAAAGACTAAGAAACGACGTCGTCAAACCTTATTTTCCCTCGTTCACTATTTTTTTTCTTCTAATCTCTCGTATATATATATCAAGGAAAAGTCCGACCTTGACATTATACAACAACATCACCGTCTCCTTCTTTTTTTTTCCTCGCTTTGGAAAAAAAAAACCCTAGCTTCCTCCATCTCTCACCGATGGTCTTGGTCGCATAGCCATTCGCAGATCTGGTAAAAATTGAGTTTATATTCTTCTCTATTTCACGATTTCGCTCTTAATTTTAGGTTGCTTTCTCCGTTTTGTTTTTCCCCTTTTTCCCAAATTGATGTTGATTCAGCTTGATTAGGGTTCTAATTCTCCGGTTTTTAGTCATGATTATGGGTAACATAGATTCATAGACGAATACTTTTAGGGTTGGTAATGATTTTGATTTTTTTTCGGTAGATTTAAACTCTCTTAAATCGGATTTTTTTTTTAATTTGTCAATATCTAATGTTGATCACTTGTGCAATCGATTGTTCTCTGTAAAGGGTCTTGATTTCTCCACTCAAGGTTTTGACTTGAACAGAGGATTTACTGATCGAAATTGCTCGTGAAACCCTAATTAGATTGATTGGTTCTGTTTAAGCTTCTCATATATATTCTGTGAAATCAATTTGGTATAGATAATGACACAAGCATAAGTTTAGCCTGAGATTCTTCCCTGCTTATTTTTTTTGATTCATTTGCAGGTTATTAGTTTTGAAAATTTTGAGACTTTGCAGATGGATAAAAAACCTGCTTCCTCGCCATGGGAGCGAGCCCAATCTCTATTCGATAAGGTTCTCCCTCTCTAGTAGTCTTTCTTAACATTCCTTTATAGATATCAGTTCCTCTAAGCTCATCTTAGGGTTCTTTTCGTCTTTTTACTTTAGCTTATGGACGTTAGAGTAACGATGAATGCATTCTTTTGGCAGATTACTGAGTTAGAAGCGAAGCGTAGGAAGGCTGCACAGTCTAGGACCTCGTCTGACCCCAATTTGTTGTGGCAGCAAATTCGCGAGAATTACGAAGCTATCGTTCTCGAAGATCATGCTTTCTCTGAGCAGCACACTATTGAGTTTGCGCTGTGGCAGTTGCATTACAAACGGATTGAAGAATATAGATCAAACATCAATGCTGTCGTGGCTTCTAGTAGCTCGAATGTGGCTCAGAATGCTAATGGTCCTTCTGTGCAGGAACGAGTTGCAAGAAGCAAGCTGCATTTCAGAAATTTTCTTTCGGAAGCAACTGGGTTTTACCATGAGATGATTTTGAAAATTAGAGCAAAGTATGGTCTTCCCTTGTGTTACTTTTCCGAGGATCAAGAGAGTCATAATTTGGCTGATAAGGATGGGAAGAAGTTGGCTCAAGTTAAAAGAGGCTTGGTGTCTTGTCACCGTTGTTTAATATACCTTGGTGATCTTGCTCGGTATAAAGGGTTGTATGGAGAGGGAGATTCTAAGAACCGCGAGTATGCTGCTGCTTCGGGTTACTATTTGCAAGCAGCTTCTCTATTGCCAGCCAGTGGAAACCCACATCATCAGGTTACCCTCTTTTTTCTCTCTCTTTCTGATGAGATCTTTTTATTAGCTAACTACAGTTTTGCTGACTAGATTAACTTAATGTCTCAGCTTGCTATAGTTGCTTCTTATTCCGGGGATGAGTTTGCAGCAACATATCGTTATTTCCGGAGCTTGGCCGTGGAAAGTCCTTTCCCAACTGCCCGTGACAACTTAATTGTTGCTTTTGAAAAGGTTACCTAACAAATCTCTGTTTTTAATTATGTTGGTGGCTTAGGATAATATTAATAGCCAATGTCCTCCCACTTTCTTACTCAATATAATGTAACTTTACCTCTTTGCACGATTAAGAAGAATCGTCAGAGTTATGCCCAGTTGCTTGAGGCTTTCAAAGACTCATCTAGAAAGCCGAATGGTAAAGGAAGAGGTAAAGGCAAAGACAATCCATCGGAAGATGCGAACGTGGCTTCTGTTCCTGAGAAGGATAAAGTAACTAGTGCAAATGAGATGCTCAAAGCGTTTTGCATCAGATTTGTTCGTCTCAACGGGATTCTTTTTACTCGAACAAGGTAATTTTTCTTTTCTTTCTAAAATTAGTTTGTTCTAGATTGATTCTGTTACTGGCTCTCATGTATAATATTTATCACTTGTCTTTGTTAGCCTGGAGACATTCTTTGATGTTCTTGCGTCCACTAGCATCAGTCTGCGAGAGCTGATTACTTCAAGCTTAATGGAAGAGCTGATTTTTGGCAAAGACAACAGTGAGAGCGCCCTCTTCATTGTTAGACTCGTGACGATTCTTATATTTAGCGCCCATAGCACTAAGAAAGGGACAGGCCCTAAGAAAGAGACAGACGGTCAGTCATATGCCGAAATTGTACAGCGTGTGGAGCCTGCTAGAAACTCCTTAACAGCAAGTTTCGAGTTACTTGGACACGTAATAGAGCAGTGTGCGCAACTGCGTGATCCTTCGTCAAGTTATTTCTTACCTGGTGTCTTAGTTTTTGTTGAATGGTTGGCATGTTGTCCTGATATTGCATCGAGCAGTGATCCTGATGAAAGACTTACTGCTGTGAGAAACAGATTTTGGAACCAGTGTGTTACCCTCTTCAATCAAATCTTGTCGCTTGGGCCTATGTATATTGATGATGTCGAAGATGAGACTTGCTTCTCAAACATGAGCATGTATGATGAACGAGAAACTGAAAACCGACTTGCACTGTGGGAGGACTATGAATTAAGAGGATTCTTGCCATTGCTTCCGGCTCAGACTATTCTTGACTTCTCAAGAAAACATTCCTTTGGTACTGAAGGTCCCAAGGAAAAGAAAGCTCGTATTAAGAGGATCCTAGCAGCCGGAAAAGCCTTGACCAGTGTGATCAAGGTTGATCAGAATTGTGTGTATTTTGATTCAACGAAGAAGAAGTTTCTTGTTGGTGTTAAACCGTCAGGTAACGTGCTGGATTCTCATTCAAGCCCACCCGAAGCTGATAATGCGTTGCAAGATAGCCAAGCAACGATGAATCATAATATGCCAGTGACACAACGAGTTCAGCAGATTTACTTGGGTGAGGAAGATGATGATGAAGAAGAGATTGTTTTCAAACCTCTAGTTACTGAGAAGAGGAATGGGGCTTCTGACCAAACCTATGTTCCCAACGGAGGCTTGAGGAATCCTGATCAAGTTCCTAACGGAGGCTTCAGGAATCCTGATCAAGTTTCTAACGGAGGCTTCAGGAACCCTAATCAAGTTGTTACTATGGGAGAAGACTTGAAAGCTTTGACAGTTTCAGATGCAGCCTTTCATGGAAATATGCTTCTGCAGGCAAGAGGCAACGCAAATGTTCAAGTGCCTGCGTCTGTTGGTTCGAACCTTCTGGGACATCTTCTGCCGTCAACCCAGTCCCAGGTTGTGCAGTTGCAACAACCTCAGACACAGGCAGTGCATCCTCAGCAAGCTCAATCGCTGGCTTCTGCACGACTTCAACCCCAGCAATCACAGGTCGCACAACTTCAACCACGGTCTGTGCACTTTCAGCAAACTCAGGGACAGGTTTCAAATGTTTCACCGGCCCAGTCACAATCTACTTCCCTTAACTGGTTACCAAAAGAAGCTGCTAGGAGCCTATCTGGTTATGCCCAGATGGGTAATGGTCTTGTGATGAGGAACGAGATGCAAGGAAATCAAGGATTTTCGTATTACCCTGCACACTCATTACCGATCCACCAGTCTTTCACTAATGTCAATGGTATGGGTGGTATGCCATATTCTCAGTCACGAACACCCGAAGCTGTGTTGCCACCAGCCATGATTAATGCTGTTTCATCCTCTGGAGTTATTGCTGATGGTCTGGGTGTGCAGCAGTCTTCACTAGCAAGAAAAAATCCAATCGGTAGAGCCTCTAGGCATCTTGGCCCTCCACCTGGGTTTAATTCTGTCCCCTCTAAGCCAGCACCTGGTCCGGATATGGCTGGTAACAATCCACAGGTTGATGACTACAGCTGGTTGGATGGATACCAAGGCCAACCTTCTCGGGGCACCGGTTTCAACACTTCTTTGAATTACGCCTCTCCCGGCAACGGACTGAACGGGCCTGCTAACTTTCCGTTCCCTGGAAAACAAGCTCCAGCACCACAGATCCAAGAAGAGTTTCCTTATATTCAGCATCCTCAGAAAGACAAGGATCAATCAGCTCAACTCCCCGATCAAAATCAAGGACAGCCCGGTCGTCGCTTTGTGTGAGGTGGGAATGGAACAGTAACACGGTAAGAGCAAAGGCATAAAGATCCTTTACATTGTTGAATACTTTTGTAAGCTCTTATCCGTGTGGTGTTGAACTAGGTGTTATTGGGAATTGATTCAGGTGAGTGTTACGCAATGTTTTCTGCTACCTAACTCCAACTTAGCCTCGTTGTGTTGAAGTCTCTCTTTGTTGGAGTATTTGTAGCCTTGGCTTCTTGTGGGGCACTTCCTACCTGACAGGTTCGTCCATTTTCACCGTTGTCTTGAATCTGATGTTGCAATTCCTGTGTTCAGACATGTCATTGCTTTATTTATACTAACCATAAATGCTTATTATTGATGATAGATTCAGGACACAGCTCATGTTGGTGAAGGAGACGTATGGTAACAAGAATGAATGGTTTCTGCGGAATTTGATAGGAGTAAAGTGCCTTTTATCTTGCTACTTGAAGTGGAGTTGTTCAGACCATATGAATGAATAAGCTCTCGCTCTGTGGATGAAGCACACTTTATCCTCCTGTTATCTTTTATTTATTTTCTTGCGAATAATGTTTAAGCTGTTCTCTTGCAGCGAATTTTACTCTCTTGGGTTGCTCTTTGTTCTGTGTCTTTTCTCGAAACTTACTCTGTTTTGCTCTGTCGTTTTAAGTTGAACATTTTATAAGGTGTGTCAAAACTCTGCAAGTGGGATTTGAATAAAGACTCGTTTCTCTTATACACACGCTTCTTGCTTTGCTTAACAATGAGAATTATCAAGAGAAAAATAAACACTCGAACTTTAATGAAAGAAGACTGGATCAAAATGTTTCTTCAATGCTCGGTTGGTTGTAGTTATGCAATAAGCAAGTACAATATGATTATGATGATGGAAACCTTTTAAAACGACCAAGTAACATCTATGAAGATAAGTGGTATATGTGATTGTAAGCGACCAAGAACTGGAAAAATGATAAGATAATGGGACACATTTTATGATTTTCTACATGGAAAGAAATGAACAAAACTATGGACTGTTACACGTAATATCGCCAAGTATTCAGTCAATATTTAAGCACACAAAAGTCAGAAAGTTTAAGACAACATCTTCATATCGTGCGTGGCTCGCTATTCAAGTAACTAAAGCATTTGAAAACACTGATCTAACAACATATTATTGCGGAAAACCAAAAAAACAAAGAGGACAATTTTCCAAAGAATACTTCCTTTTCTTTTTTACTTTTTACTTCTTTAAGAGACACAGAAACAGAAGCTTTACTGCTTTCAACAGACCATACTTTCTCAGGTCTCGCCTTCTAATTGCAATGAGCCATCTCTCATTAACTTGAGGCTCAAACTGTTGAATCTTTCCCTTGAATACTGTCTCGACGCTTTCCTCCAGTCTGTCCCAGCTTTCATCATCGCTGCAAACTCTTCGTAGCTTATTCTTCCATCCTAATAATCACCAAAAAGAAGTATAAAGCATCAAAGACAAGATATTGTGTGAGCCTTTTATTTAAATGCGTTTGTTGTGACATGTTTTGGGGTTTAACCTTGTCAGTGTCAACATCTTGCATGATGGCTGCAATAACCTCCTCACTGCTAGTATCCACCTCATCATTCAAAGCCTGCCGCAGCTCCTCAATCTCTATGTAACCACTCTGGTTCTGGTCAAAAAAGCTAAATGCCTTATGCAAGTGTTCGTCGTTAGCCATCTTCTTGAGATGCACGGAGACGGCCACAAACTCGCCATAATTTAAAGTCCCATCTCCATCTACATCAGCCTGTACACACAAAGAAAGAAAGAAAGAAAGAACTCTCAAAAATATGTTGCTTGGTGAAGCCAATAACGCATAAAAGTAATTTTTACTTACAGCTTCCATCAAAATCTGTAAATCAGTATCAGGTATCTGCTGCTGTCCGAGTTTATGAAGTCCATGTTTAAGCTCCTCGAGGTTTATCTTCCCTGTCTTTTTACTGTCCATCATCTCAAAAGCTTCCTTAATGCCAGCTACTTCCTCTACTGATAAGTGTTCGGCTATCACCTAAAAAAGGAGCTCAAAGTTATTTCTTCTAAATAAGGTTATTAAGCAGCGGCAGTGCTGAATATAATCATTACCCTTAGAGCTCGTTTCTTGAGCTTGTTCATAACAGAAAACTGTTTGAGCCTAGCTTTCACAGTCTCACCGAGTGAAACATTTGGAGCCTTCTTCGCATTCTGTATCCAAGGATGTTCTGCAAAATATAAGATATTTGATCCATTAGTTATAGATTTAGGAAACACAGAGGTGAATAGATAACATACCGAGTACTTCTGCAGCAGAAAGCCGTTTCTTGGGGTCAGGTTCGAGCATCTTTCTCACAAGGTCTTTGGCAGTGTCAGAGACTCTTGGCCATGGATCCCTCTTGAAGTCAATGACTGACCTAATGATCGCCTGAGCCACCCCTTGCTCAGTCTCTATACAACAAAAAAAGTAAACAATATCAATAGAAGAAACTCATAAAGTGCAAGAAGATAAACAAATAAAATTTTAAAAGAGGTCACTAGTGAAACTAAATCATCTACTAATGATTCTGCAGTAAATATTTATAACAAAACCCATCAGCTAACCCTTACTGCTAATAACAAAAGAAAAAAAGACTAAGTCAATAAGATAGATAAATGAGAACATACCAGCCCAAAATGGTGGGACACCACAGAGCAAGATATAAAGGATAACACCAGCACTCCAGATATCAACCTCAGGTCCATAATGTCGCCTAAGTACCTCTGGGGCCATGTAATAGGGACTTCCAACAATCTCATTAAATCCCTCACCTGTTACAAGTCAAGTTGAGTAACAAAACAAAAGTATCTATAGAAGTCTAAGATTATATATAATGGAATTGTGATCTATACCAGGCTTAAAGAAGACTGATAATCCAAAATCTATGGCTTTAAGTGGTGAATTCTCCTTTTTATTAGCAAATAGAAAGTTCTCAGGCTTTAGATCCCTATGCATCACCCCATTCTTATGACATATCTGCAATTCCAAATCATAAGTGTAGAAAATTAGAATCATTACACTATAAGGGCAAAGCACTGAATAAAGACAACTTCAAGAACCTGAACAACTTCAAGAATAGTCTTCATAACAGCAGCAGCAGCACGTTCAGTATAATGACCTCTAGCAACAATCCGATCAAACAGCTCACCACCTTCACACAACTCCATCACTATATGCACCGCATCATCATCCTCAAAGGCATCCTTAAGCGTCACAATATTAGGATGCTTAGGCATATGCTTCATAATCTCAACTTCCCTCCTAACATCCTCTATATCCACAGCTGTTCTAAGCTTCTTCTTCGAAATAGACTTGCACGCATACTTCTCCCCCGTCTTAATATCAGTGCACAAGTAAGTAATACCAAACTCTCCTCGACCAACCTCACGGCCAAGATCATACATAAGGGAGATGTCATGTCCTGTTGGATCTTTTAAAACAGAGAGCTTGAAGCCAGCTCCGGATCTGTTTGTTGTAGTGTATGCTTCGCTGTAAAACGGGTTGGTTTTGGTCTTTGGTTTAGCGTCTTTGTTTTTGGTCTCTGAGCCAGGGCTTGCACAACAGTTTCCCATTTGTAATCAAATCTGAGATTTTTCCATCAACAAAGTAAATTACCCACAAGCTTTTATAAAGAAAGTTTTGAACTTTATCAATGATCTCTTAATAAAAATCTAAACTTTAGGAAGTACTAATCCTAAAAACAATCAGATTTGATGAGATAAAGTAAACCCTAGCAAAGGAGGATGCTTTACAGACCTGTGAGGTTAACCGGTGAGAGAAAGAGAGGTGATTCGGTGGAAGCAACGAGAGAGAGGAGAAGAAGTAGAAGAGTCAAAAAGTCTGCTTCTTTCTCTCGAAGGAGAAGAGAGCAAAGGGACTCTTTTTTTTTTCTCTATTGTGGAATTAGAGGATAACAACCCATTGCGTAAGGCAGTCTCACACACGGTCACAAAGACTCGCCACCACTCTCTTATTGTTATTGGTTCGGACTTGATAGTACTTTCACTTTGTTTTCTCCCAATGAACAATACATGTGTTAGAAAGAGTTTGATGTTTGGTTTTTTTGGATGCTAGTACAAACCACTAGATTACAAATTAGTGATGTATATAGTTGACATTAATTGATTTATATAATTGGAAAAACAAACTTCATACATTTACACATAATTATCAAGGATAATATCAAAATAATAATTAGAATCAGTCGACAATATGTTCCACATTCCTCAAATTTTAAATTTTATTAAATCACCTGTTAAACAATTATCACATTTTGAAAAGAAAAATGATAATAAATGTTATTGACTAATTCAGATATAGAAGTCGTTGAACAATGGAGATAGAAAAATATTATTATTGGTGGAAGTAGTTTTCCTAATTTCAGAAAGCTACTTAATCAGAAAAGAAAGACGTGTAACCAGTGAAGACCAACCAATCTCTCGAGTTTCACTCTTTAGGCCTACTACGACTCTTCAGGCCCCTCTTGCATAGACAGCTAACACATGAAGTCACTAGTAATAAATCAAACAGGCTGTCCATGACAATGATTACTCCTATCTCCCATGATGATTGATTATAGGACTTGGAACAGGGATATATGTTCTTTTATGTAAAATCATCTCTATGGAAAACTACCAATGGATCTTACATGAAAGTGTTTCGGTACAAAAATAGTTTCAAGACTTTTGAGTTTGATCAGGCAAAATATCAAAAACATAACAATGAAAAATCTCACTTTTAAAAGCTCAACAAAACCTTAGTGGTGGTGGGACTTCTCATCTCCGCTCTGTTCACCAAACAAATGATAATCATTTTCTGGCGAAGGTCTCTCCCTTGTGCTCACCCCCGGCATAGACTACATAGCCTGCTTCCACCTATAAACAAAATCGCTGTCTTGATTGCGGAACCCATAAAACCAATTTTTACTTGTGTATTAAAAAAACTACTAAAGGGAGCAACGTACTTGGCAGTCTCTCAGGGAAACACGCTCTTGAAGCTGAGCATTACTGCAAATGACCGAGCCTTGTATTGAACACCCATCTCCTATTGTGGCATGATCCATCACAACTGAATTAACCACCTGTCACGCCCACATACATACATACAAGCAATTCAGTGTATTTATTATCGATACGTACACTAGTTTTAGTTGGCTAAGATGAGTCAAAGCTCTTATTGTTTACCTTCACATTGGAGCCTATCCGGCAATGTCTCCCAATTACAGATCTTTTCACACTGCATTTATCACCAACTTGAGAGCCTTCTCCAAGCATACAATGAGGTCCAACCTGCAGCACACAAAATGTTAAGGACCATCACTACCTCCAGAGAAAATGCCCAACATGTTAGAAGACGTACTGTGGTTTTTGATCCAAGCTCAGCTGATGGGTGGACAATGTTGTGATGAGCAGAAAAGGAGTATCCAGATAGGTGGTTTGCGTCACCAATAACCTTCACAAGTTTGTATAGTTGCGAAGCTTTAGATGTCAAAGAAAACAAAAATACTATAGTCTATAGAAGGAATCCATGTTGTGGAATACTTACATCTCTGTTTACGTCCATGTAGGCTTGAATGCTATTTAAGCGGACGCAGTACTTACTTTCATCCGCTATATAAACACAGCATTTATGGGTCTTTCGGCTATTGAGAAATGATTCGTAAACTTGATGAAAGCTTGGCAACGATGCGTTGGAGAGAATTTGAGACAAAACCAACTCGTTGTTCTGCATATTGTTCTTTCCATTGTCTTCTACAGTTTTTTCGTCAGGGAAGACCTCTGATCTCTGAAACTCAACAGGAAAAACAAAACACAAAAGAAAATATCAAAATGGTGATAAGACGAATAGTATAGTCTTCATTATTTTTATATTATTCAACTAACCAGCTGTGTACGAACAAGATATGGGAGTACATCCTCTTTTAGGCTCCGAAAAGTAGGTTTTTGATCCAAAACTTTTTGCAAGACTGATCTGTAAAACACAAGACAAAAGAACATGATGAGTCTCGATAGAGTAAACTAATTTATAAGCAGAAAAGCATATCTGACCAACCTCTTGAAGGCATATATATGAGAGTCCATGAGATCTGATCGAATTTCCATCTAAATCAAAAATGACAAAATGATAAGAAATTGTACTACAATTTATTAATATACGTATCCCCGTACAGTTACAAGACAAAATGCATCATGCAATTAGAGATTATTACCTTGCCAGCCGCACGGAGAATGCTCTTTTTAATTCGAGTATCTTTCTTAATCTCAACCCCTATCACAATCATAGGGTAAACAAAACAACAGGTTCAAGCATCTGAGAAACAAAAAGAAGTAGAATTCAAAGTCGTACCTGTGGCTATGTGTAACAAGAATTGCTTTGAGGAATCAAGCCCTATGATATCATAGCAAGCAGGTTTTTTGGTTTTATCTTTCCCGCTGGCGACACCAGATTCTGATGGTCCACTGACTGGCTCAGCACAAAGCATTGCAGTTACTGATGCATCATGTCTTCTATGAGTGGCGGCGACAGCACCAGGAGAAACATCAGAAACAATGTCTCCACTAACAATCTGCGTTCAGGGACGCTTCAAAGTTAGAAGCTATGAGTATTTAGGAGGGATAAGTTAAGAGACAGATTTTTTTGTAGCTTACCAGAATGTCCTTGGCAGTCAGGTGGTGAGCAATAGCCCTAAGGGCGCCAGCAGTACCGACATTCTCAGCTACAGCAGCGACCTAGTATAAGATATTTAACAGAACGTTGAGTAACTTCTCAGTGTGTCAAATCCATAACTTCAGGACAAGCAAAAAGCCTTCCACATTGGTATAATCTATAATCTATTAACCAAGGGAGACACGTTAGCTCTACTCAAAACTGAAAATTCAAAAAGGTTCCTAGTGTTACTGTACGTGCATCTGCCTCAAAGTAAGAAATTCTTAGAACAACTTAACCTCCCAGAACACAAAAGCTTCAAGTTAAATAAAAAGCTATTAACCATAAGTCACAAGATAGATCCAATAAAACCAAAAACTCAAATAGTTCCCAGCGTTATTGAACTTGAATCTGCTTAAAAAAGTGGACAAGTCAACATTCCAGAGGCCAAAATACAAAAGCTTCAAGTTAAGAAGCAGTAGTTCACAGCTATATCACTTCTTTTATATCCTATATGAATCACCAGTGTTGCATAAACTTTTACTATACGAAGCAATAGGCTCCTCGTTCATCTATTTCTAATGAAACATCACTATTCACAGACGAATACCTCAACATGTAAACGATCAACACATGCAGAAGATATCCATCCACCAACTTTCAGAGCAGCATCTTCTCCTTCAACAACCTGTTTACCATCAACGCCAAGCGATAAAATCTAAGTCTCAATCAAAATTATTCAATCTAGCAAAAAATCAATTGTATGAAAGGGGATAATAAGGCGTACAACGATCAGATCCTTGAGATTACTACTCTCGAGAAGATCTAGAACGTAAGATAACACCGGACGATTCGCCACGGGGAGAAGCGCCTTAGGGACTTCCTGTACAGCAGATAAGGAGATTAGATATATTAGCCAGCGAAAGACTGTGTTTGCAGATGAATGAGAGAGAGAGAGAGAGAGAGAGATAGAGAGGACCTTTGAGACTAAGGGCTGAAGATTGCTGGAGAATCCGCCGGCGAGAATCACAACCTGAAAATCCATCTTCGCAACTGAATTTGACGGTGAGAGAGAGGAAGGAGAGGTTTTCGTTTTTTTAGAGGGGGTTTTGTTGCGTTTGCGAAAGGTAGTAGACGGCAATATCAAACCCGCTCGTTCGTTTAGAGTCTTCCTCGTTAAGCCGACGTCGTTTGTATAATTTTTGGTTATCATAACTAAATTAGAATAAATCAGTGTTATAAAAATGAGGCCAACAACTTTTGTCTAAATTTGTTTAGTGTTAGTGAAAAATCATAAATTTATCTAATTTCGTAATTTTTGTTTATATAGTTTTTCATAATTAGTCAATAATTTTCTAGTTAGCCATTAAAAACTAAATATCTAATATAAAATGTAATATATATATATATATATTAATATTCTTTAATACTTAGATTCAGTCTAGACCTTAATAATCCGCATTTTTAAACAATGAAATCAACCAATGCGACTGCAATTAAAAATTAACATTGAACTCAGGAAATTTGTGATTTCATCTTTGTGTTATTCCCCTAAAATTTTACTCAAATCATATATGCTTACTTAAAAAGCCAGAAACGGTTATATCTCTGTGAAATGAAGAGAGAAGATTATGAAATTGCATAACCATAAATGTAAAAGAGCTAATATATATTAAGTTTTCAATTCAAAACTAATTGGCAAATGACTGAATTTATATTATTAAAGATTTCTTCCATACTCCAATGTGCTACACACATGCTTCTTTATATACTACAGTGTGTTTAGTTCCTAACTTGTTTTCTGTTAACCTTTATCTGAAGTCATGTCACCTAATCTGAAAACAAACCCCCTAAACTTCATTCTTCATCATAATCTTCCTCATCAGCACTAACCTCTCGTTGATCACTATCTATTTTAATTTCACTGATCCCAAACAACGGCCAAACTGGTCTTCCCTCTAGCCCTCTTTCCGGGGATGTAGCAAACTCTCCACTCTCATCTAGTTCTACATTCAGATCAAAGTCCCTTATTACTTTTAACTCTAAGTTGCTGTGATTGCTCTTGTGTGAGGTAGCAGCTTCCTTCCAAGTTGCAGAAAGGCTCCAGTTTTCAGGAGATGGGCTCTTGCTGCCTTCAGGTGAAACATCATCAAACTTTAGAGACTGATCATTACCCGTTCTTACACCACACCCTCCACGTCCTCTACCACGTCTTCCTCTGCCACCGCCACTATGTTCAGTGGTCTTCATAGCTTCATCGTTACTAATACTTTCATCCACAAGTTTCCTGAAAAAAAAATTGTGTTAAGACATGAAACCTATACACTAGTTTTAGACATAGAATATGAGAAGTGTGACTGATTGATATCATCAGGGCCTAACCTTCTTTTGGTAGCAGGTCTGTCTTCAGATTCTGAGCCACCTAAATCAGGAACTTTACCAACAATTTCTCTTAGAAAATCAAAGACATTAAACGCGTGCACGCACTGCTTCCTGTTTGCAAAAAACAAGAATCAAGATACAATTGTTTTTTTTGCTTATAAAGAAAAGCCAAAAGAAGGGATTTAACAAGCTTACAAATGAACAGAGCTGACTGTTTTTGCGCCGCGACTAAGAGTTACATCATAAGTGTGATTACACAAGTCTTGTAAAAACAGCTCCAAAGCTTTAGCTGCAAAGTGTAAACATTCAAAACGATGAGAACCAAGTACACACAAGCTATATGAAGAGAAAAGCACAAAAAAACATGAACTTACAGACAAGAAGAGGAACCGCCATTGCTATTTTCCCTACATCTTCATCAGTCTGCATAATCTTCTTAATCCTTGTCTGGAAACAAAAAAACGAGGTTTAGAAAAGATCACCAAGAAACCAAAGAAACATGTCAACTATCTAGTATCTACCGAAACTACTACAAAAGAACTCCTTAAATTTCAAGACACTATACTATAAGAACTTTAAACATTATAATATTTTCTCATATTTAGTCACTTTTATTGTATTTTTAGCCTTGAGCAAAATAGCACTACAATAACAAGACACCATATAGCAAAAATTCAAAACCCTAAAGAAGAGTAAGGAACCGTGAAGAAGGCAAACTTATTATAACCACAGAAAAAGTCAACGAAACTACATTCCTAAAACTGACAAGACACTCTTCTTCAAGGGTATCACTACAAGAAGAAGACAAAGAAGAAGAGGAAAAACCTAACTAACATGTGTTGTAGAAACAAGAAAACAGAGAGAAAGTGATAAGTCATACCGCTGGAAAACGGGTTTGGAGCTTCTTCTTCATAACTTTTCTGTTTCAAAGGAAGAGAACCAACTCAAGAAGTCACAGGGGGAGAGGAGAAGATAAAAACCCTAATATAAAAAGAAATCTCTACTTTCCGTTCTCTATGGAGTTATATAAGAAGATAAACCTAAATATACTATGTTGATTCTATTTTACACGACAAGAAAAGAGAAAAAAGGAAAACAAGTTTGGATCTTTTTTTTTCTGTTAAAGTCTCTGTTTCTGACCCGTTCTTTGTCGATATTGACTTTCTTCTTCTCCTTTTCTTTTTAGGGTTGAAAAAAAAAAGAAAAAGAGAAATAAATCATTTACCTACGTGGATTCTATTCTACCTCAAAAATTGTACTATTTTTTGTGACAAAAAATTGCACTAAATTAGTTTTGTTAATGATCTCATAATCAAAATTTTATAAAGCTTTTACTATATTGGTGATTTGTATAAATGTAAAATATAAATAATTAATTATCTTATACAATATAAATCATTTATAGGATTTGCATAAATTTTAAAATCTAACATTTTTTTCCAGAAAAGTAAAATAAAATAGAAAAATAAGACAGCCACACATGTTAATCTCGGAAGCTAATCTCTAGTCTAGTCCACAAACACTTTGAACTGATCAGAAAACCAGAAGACTGATCACTGTATCTGATTTCAGACCAAAATAAAATTAAGACCAACAGAGAGATGTCTGTATCTCTAAGTACCACTTGTTGTCTTCGACTACGCACTGCTTCAGTTCCGCAAAAACATGGAGTTGTCCGTTTTTATTTACAAAGATCATCTCATGTTTCCCCATGCCGTTTTGGTTTCAACTCAAACCCATTCTTTAGAATTCAGACCTCAAGATCTTCCAAGTACTTAACGCCGAGACTGTCTGATGAACGCAGAGAAACACAAGTAACTACTGAAGAAGAGGTTGTCGAGTTTCCGAGGCTATTCTCTAACCTTAACCGATCAACACTGAAGCGAGAGTCCGGTACAGTTTTGTTTTCTTCACTTTTTTCATTCAAGGAAGTATATTTGGATTGAATTATGAACTTTTCAGGAAGCTTGTCAAGTGCGATTTTCTTGGTTGCTGGCACTACAGTAAGTCTTTTTTTTCTTCTCTGAAACGGTGGAAGGTATCAAACTTGTAACACTCTATCGGTTTCTTGATTAGGTAGGTGCAGGGATACTTGCTATTCCAGCTGTGACACAAGAATCAGGTTTTCTAGCCTCTGCAGTTGCCTGCATTCTCTGTTGGGCGTTCATGGTAATCACAGATACTTCTTTATCTGTATATATGTTTCTTGCAAGTAAATGGGCTTGGTCATTAGTAACATAAGGTTTGTTTCAGGTTGTTACAGGTTTGCTAGTTGCTGAAGTGAATGTCAACACAATGTCTGAGTTAGGCTCTGGAGGCGTATCTCTCGTATGCCCTCTCAATCCAACACTTTCTATGCGCTTAGTGCTTTCCTAAAAACTCAACATTTTGGCAGGTCTCAATGGCGAAGAGGACTCTTGGATCTGTTGGAGTTCAAGTTGCATCGTAATCATTCTCATTTTAGAACTTGCTTTCCTTAGTTTGCCCTCACCTCACGTTTGAAACAAGTCTTTTTGTTGTGTAGTTGGTCATACATTCTCATACATTATACTCTCCTTGTGGCCTACATTGCTCGATCTTCAGGCATCCTTACAAACTTCCTAGGCATTCCAATGTACCAACCACAACTGATTCTTATATATGCACTGACGGTTCTGAGGTTTTTTGTGCTAATGTACTAATTTCTCTGAGAGTCTTGTAGATGGGAGAGCGCAACTCTGTTCTCACTGGTTCTCGGAGGCATTTGTTTCTTTGGAAGGTTAGCTTTTCATCAGAAAGAGTCAAAATCCATAGACTTGAGTAGATAATCAAAACTTTCTCCATGTGGTTGTAGCCAGAGATTCATCGGTGCAACCAATGGAGTTCTGGTGTTTGGACTAATTGCATCATTTGCAGCACTTGTGGTAACAATATTTTCGTTAAAGAACTTTCCTAGGAGTTAATGAAAGTGAAAACCAAACCATGAATGACCATTTTGTTAGGCAGTAGCGAGTGGAGACTTGCACTGGGAAGCTCTTCTCAAGGCCAACTTTGAAGCTGTTCCCATGAGTATACCCATTATAGCACTCTCGTTTGTTTACCAGGTAATCATTCAATCTCCTGACGAAACTTCTAGTTCTTGACTCCAAGATAAAGAACTAAACTGATTTGTTCTTACAGAATGTGGTGCCGGTTCTCTGCACAGATCTTGAAGGTGACTTGCCGAAAGTAAGGTGACATCATACCCTGCAATAGTGACAATGAAACTCACTGAACATATCTGGACTAACTCAAGTTTATGAATGTCTTTTATCTTCAGAACCGCGATTGTTCTTGGCACAGCCATACCACTTGGCTTGTTTCTTGTGTGGAACGCTGTGATTCTTGGATCGTTTCCAGACACTGGTGTGGCAGCTGAGAAGATGATCGATCCTCTGCAGCAGTTAAGAGCAACCAGTGTCACCGTTGGTGTAAGTTAAAGATGTTCTTTGCTTCCCTAATAAACTCTCAACAATCACCTTAACTCTTGTCTTGGTTTTGATCACACAGCCTTTTGTGGAAGTATTCTCTCTTATTGCAATCGCAACATCTTACATAGGATTTGTCCTAGGCCTCACTGACTTCTTCTCTGATTGTGAGTAGCATCAAACAACCAAACTTTATGTTTTCTTTAAAAGCTACTGCTCCTTTATAACCTTTGTTTTTTTGAAACTTTTCAAGTATTGAAGCTTCAGACCAGACAGAACAAGCCTTTTCTTTACCTTCTTACACTGGTTCCGCCACTTGTTCTGTCCCTACTAGACCCAGAGATTTTCTTCAAAGCTTTGGATTTTGCTGGGACATATGGAGGTACAACAAGTTTCTTCTTGAGAGACTGCCTTTAAACCAAACACCAAAACTAACTGTTGTTTACCTTCTGCAGTTCTTGTACTGTTTGGAATCCTACCAGCTGCAATGTCTTGGTCAGATAGGTACATAGTCTCATCATCAACAGCAACAAGCGTGCCACAACTTGTTCCAGGAGGAAAAGTAACACTTGGTCTTGTCATGGGAGCTGCAGGATACGTGATTGTTTCAGAAGTAGTAGAGAACTTTTCACAGTACTTGAGCGGTTCTTGAGATAATGAAAATGGATAGTAAACATTGATAGTTTATGTCTTGCAACTAGAAAACAAGCATCTCAAGCAAAGACAAGATAACAAAACTTGGAAGGAAATCAAATGTATCGTTTGGTAGGGAGAGAGGTTTTGAAAGTCTCTAGATCTTGTTGAATGCAACGATGTCAACACTCTGGATGTACTCGTTGTTAGGTTCAGAAGTGAGATAGTCTTCAATGAGGTTGTCAGGGGAGACGAGGTCATCAACAATTGTGAGCATGATTGTGAGCTTCTTGATCCCGTAACCAACTGGAACCAGTTTTGCTGCAACAATTTTAAACACAGAAGTAAACACTCAATTAGAAAGCTGGCAAACACAAATAGTTAAAACGCTAAGACTCCTTCCATTGCAAGTATAGAAAGATAAAAATTGTTGACTTACAAGCTCCCCAGAGAAGACCAGGCATCTCAACAGCGCGAACACACTCCTCAAGTTTCTTCATGTCAGTCTCGTCATCCCATGGCTTCACTTCCATGAGAACAGAGGACTTTCCACCTAACAAAAAAAAAGTTCGAAATTCAAAACGAGAATTAAGAACTCATCCTGTAACTCATCATCACATTTGCTCCCCCCATAAAAGCAAACCACACATGCTCGCATACTAAATTCAGTGCTTACTCTCTTTGGGCTTCTTGGTGTCCTTCTTAGCAGCCTCCCTCTCCTCAGCAGCTTTCTTTTCCTCCTCGGTCTCGTCACCAAACAGATCCATGTCATCATCATCATCAGCTGCAGCCGCTGCAGGTGCCTGTTTCAAACACATCTCCTTATCTTAGTTTATTTTTTGTTAAAAATGTTGAGACCTTACCCCAAGCTTTTAAAGTTTTTTACAGGGCTTACTGCGATAACTCCTAATCTAAGTTATTTTTGGTAAAAATGTTAAGACTTAATACCAAGCTTTTAAAGTTTTTTACAGAGTTTACTGGGATAAACTAGTAGCAGAAGATGGAGAAGTTAAACTAACAGAAGGTCCTAAGAAGCAAAGACAAACCAACAATGAAGCATAACTCCTTATCTAAGTTTCCTCTTCCATATCAAAGCATTCCTCAAGACTATACTTAACCCTTTTCAGGGTCTATGCTTTCTATAAACAATCAAAAATTAATATCAATTACCTCAGCTTGAGCAGGAGCAGCAGCAGCAACAGAGCCACCAATACTCACTCCAACAGCTTTTCCAGGGAAGCTGCAATAATTCAAAAACTCTTAAAAGATAAAATCTTTTAATCCAAATATTAATAATTTGATCCAAAGGACAAACCTTTTAGCTAAATGGGAAGCAACGCAATCGAACCACCTGCTAGCATTAGGGAAAGCATCGCTAGGTTTCCCCGAAACGGCAGCGTATACCTTCACATCATCCACAGACAACTGATCTCTGCGAGAATTAAAAAAACTCTGATTTTAGACTTCGATCTAAGCAATGGAAATGTTACGAATAGAGGAAGAAGGAAAGTGAGAAACTTTACCCGGAGATGTAGGTTTTTCCGGCGAGGTGGTTCTCCAGGGATTTGACACCCTCCTCTGTGTGTAGATCTGAGAATGTAACGGCCATTGATGATGGTTTTAGGAGGGAAAGGAGAAGAGATTGGGAAGAGAAGTGGAGAGAGAGAGAGAGACGGAGATAGAACAAAGCTGCTTTAAAACCTATAGTAGAGTGAGAAGAAACCCTAAACCCGGTTTGGAAATAAAACTGGTACGGGCGATGGTGGGCCTCATTATGGGCCTTTATATTGCTATAGTTTAGACTTTTAGAACTTGGAGAAGGATATTCCGGGGATCGGAGAAGAATAATTTTTGAATTTGTTAGGTTATTTGGTTATTTATTTAGGAAATGAGATCCAAAACAGGACTTGATCAAGTTGGATGGGAATGGGATGTGTCTTCTTTGAACAACCCAAGCGTAATAAGAGAGCTTTTGAGATAGTGATGTATAAAATAATCAGGGTTGGACTTGAATGTATGAAACTTAAAAACATGTTTAATCCACATATTTTTCTTAACCAATACTTTCACAGTTTTACAAAGAGTGTCATTTTGACTTTTTAGTTACCTAAATCGTCATTTATAATTCCAAAGCAATTAATTTAAACTGAATGTTAATTACAAAATGCAGTAATCTTTTAATTTATGCATTGAATTTATAATTTATACTACTAAGTTTAAGTTTAATATTAATTACAAACTGCATTGATTTTATGATTTATGCATCTATACTATTAAAGCTGAAGTACAAAAAATTAGTGTTTGGAAACATGAATAGGTATTTAAAATTATAATGATTGGAAACAAGGATAGCCTACAAATCTAATGGGCCTAAAATTATTATTGTTTTTGGGTTTCTATCATTGATATTATTTTATTTCTGAAAATTAGTTATACATATATGTATTCTTGTTTTAAATGTATTTAAAATAAAACAAGAATAATATATATTTTATTTATATAATTTATATTGACTATTGTTATAAACTTTTAACAGTGATATACTAGCCTTTCAATTCTTCATTAAAAAATTAACTTAAAATTTGAATAAATTGTTTAATGTATATAACTTTGCACCAAATTTAGCAAAAAAAAATTTATAAACTATTAATAAAATGTTTACGGGTCACAATATTTTGCGACGCCCATGTTACACAATACAGTGATGAAATACAATGTTTAAATAATGTACTATTACTTAGTTAAATCGGAACCATTAGATTGTAATTTTTGAAATGTTTATATATACCATAAAAACAAATACCCGCCCAGTCGGGCGGGTTATGATCTAGTTCATCTTATAATTTTTACATTCCAATACAATTTATATCTAGTTTAAGATTAATATTAAGTTTATTTATTTTAAACACTATAAGTTAAATAGATGTAAATATCAAAATATGAATATATTTTAATTCTTTTATTAATTTATGTAACAAATGTAAAAAGGACGCTCTTCAGAGTAAGGTAAATGAATGGTCTCTACATGACTGGTCACCTGAATTTTGGAAATCGATATGAATATTTCTACCAAAATCGGCCAAACGAATAATCACATGTTGTATATGACCACAAAGAAATCCTCTATGGTTGTAAGAGGCTTTTGAAAAGGGAAGATTAGTTATCATCGTGTAGTAATTATCATCCTATCTTATCTATAGTTTTTCTCAGTTTCATGGTATTGATATGATCGATCTTTGGATCTCTCGACCAATTTGGTGATCGATCCGTTGTTGCCAGGGAAGTTTTGGAGCTAAGGTCGTGCCTCGTGGCCCTGTTGAATAATTCTTGTAGTGTACCGTCTTCACAATCTTTTCCCTTCCATTCTTAATTTACCAAACTGTGTAGCTTTACTATTCCATGTTTTTCTTCTTTTAATCGTAGAGCCCCTCATCTTAATAATAAAATGAGGATGATCTGTAATATTCGTTTCATCATGCAAATTTGTACAATGGAGGAGATACGAGAACAGCTCTTTTTAGAAAACCATGATTTTAATACTACATAAAAACAAGAAACTCATGATTTTAATACTACATGAAAACAAAATATATAAGACCATTCGCTGGACATAAGAAAAATGTGTAAATTTATTAAGATTAAGACAAATATAACTCAATGATTTTACGTTTCTAATTATTAACTTCTGGTCGGAAGCATATTATGGAAGGAATCGTCTCTGAAACGTGAAAACCAACGCGGTTCTTTCTGTTTTATTAGCACCGATTTGTCTTTGTTCTGGACCAAACTAGAACTCATTTCGTTTATAAAAACGCACGTAAACTGGAGCTTGTACTTTGCAAGACAGGGACTAAAATTTCAAGATCACTCCTCTCTTAGGCTCTCTAGTATCCTTGTAAGATCTTCTGCTTTTACTGTGAGTTCCTTTTCGTTTTGAGTATAGAGTTCGTTGCTTGCTCTGTTTTGTCATTGCAGTTTCTTGTTTCACGGCATGGCAGTGTGATCTTCTTTTAAACTGTTCTTGTTTGTTTTCTGGTGGCCATTGATTAAAATCTCTTGTAGCATCTGCATAGTTTTTGATCGTGACTCAAGAGAGTTTGGTACCAGATGCTGATATCATTGATTTTAGCTGATCAGTCCTGTGCTAAGGCTTTTTGGTGTCATAGGCCAAAAAAAAACATAATATCTATAATTATTTATTTAACTGTTATAAGTAAAATAATAAAATATGATTAGTTTTATAAAATAAGATTTAGGAGGAAAAATTATAGTGTTATTACTTTTAAAAACAACAAAAGACAAGAATTAAAAAAATCAAAATTTTCTTTTGAAAATGTGGATATTACTGCAATTAGTTGATTCTTAAGTTTAAATTGTAACTATAGCAAACAAGTTCTAAGAATAACAATAGTAACTTACATTCAAATTATATAGCTTTCAAAAAAAATCTACATATATAGATCACATAAAACAATCTTTTGTAAATATGCCTATTAAATTATATTTAAAATAATATGTCCTAAGCCAATATTTATTTTTTTTTATAGTAATCACTACTCTGTAGCTGATATTAGTTCATTTACTTGGAACAAATGGCCTTTTCTTGGATATCTCTCCTCTAGCCTTGTAGGGTTTGTGGTTGAACTAATAATTGACACGTTTTTCTACAATTTTATCTCTTAGGAATGGTTCAGCTTTTGGGGCTCATGCGAGAGCCATCGGCTTCAAATCACGTCGCAAACACATCGGTTGGAAGTGACCAAGGGATGGCAGAGAGGAGAAACAGCAACGGAGGAGACATTGTTATCAATGTTCCAGAGAAAGAAGTATCTAAAGATCCAGCATCATCATCACCTTCTTCCCATGTACCGGCTTCACCAAACTCATCAGAGACGGTGACAACCAAACTAGAGCCGTTAAGCATTCCACTTCCTTTCCCTGGAAGCGCTCATAAGCCGCCAAAGATTCCAAGTCCTATCACTGAAGGTCTAACTCGGAGGAGATCTCTTTCAAGATCAGTTTACTCCAAGTCCAACTCAAGGTTTGGTCAACAACAGTCTTTTCATTTCGACAAGACTATAGTGGAAGAAGATTGTAGAACCCCTATTGGTGCAAAGCCTTCTTTTAACAAGGCTTCCTCTAGTAACAAATCAAGTAGAAGCACTACTAGCTCAGCAGCCGTGAGTAGAGTTGATGATGACGAAAAAGATGAACATGAAGAGATCTATAAAAGGGTTAAACTACACCAAGTGAAGCGTAGAGGAATAAGACCTCTAGCTCTTCTTGAGTTGCTAGTCTTTGTGGCTATTCTATGCACTTTGGTTGTGTGTTTAACCAATGGTTCGGTGAAGAAGCATCGCATTTGGGGTTTAGAAGTTTGGAAATGGTGTGTCCTTGTGATGGTGACGCTTAGCGGCATGTTTGTGACAAACTGGTTCATGCATTTCGCGGTGTTCATCATAGAAAGAAACTATCTCCTACGTAAAAAGGTGTTGTACTTTGTGCATAGTTTGAAGAAGAATGTTCAAGTCTTCATCTGGTTTGGTTTGATTCTAGTTACTTGGGTACTTCTCTTCGAAGATGACGATAAACACTCTCGTAAGGCCAAGAAGTTTCTCAACGCTATAACGTGGACACTCGTAACCCTTCTCGTAGGGTCAGCCATTTTCTTGGTGAAGACGTATGCTTTGAAAGTTCTTGCTTCAAAGTTCAACGTGAGAAACTTCTTTGAGAGAATTCAAGAGTCTGTCTTTCATCAGTATGTTCTCCAGACTCTCTCCGGACCTCCGCTTATAGAAGAGGCAGAGAGAGTTGGACGTGAGCCAAGCACTGGACACCTTAGCTTCACTAGCAACAATGGAACGGTGGAAGAGAAGAAGGTTCTTGATATGGGTAAAGTTCACAAGATGAAACAAGAGAAGGTCTCTGCTTGGACAATGAGAGTTTTGATTGAAGCTGTGGGAGCTTCAGGTCTCTCAACCATATCTCACACTTTGGATGAGAGTAGCAATCGGAAAAAGAAATCAGATAAAGAGATTACTAGTGAGATGGAGGCTGTGGCTGTAGCTTATGATATTTTCAACAATGTTGCTCAGCCAAACTCGAGGTAAGTCAACACACAATACTCTGCTTTCTTCTAGTTAGGTTTTATTATTCAAACTCAAGGTCATAAAATATGGTAGTCAACTGTATTATTTATACGGATTTATACTCAAGGTTATAAAATATGGTAGTCAACTGTATTATATAATATTGTTTAAGCAAACATTATACGTTATACGCTGATGCCTAAACGAATTTTAAGCATAAATATTTAAAAACCTAAAATATATAATACTATATTTATTACTGTTATTATTTTATGTAAGATTTTACCTATTTTATATCTTTATATGAATGATTATAGCCATTGTTTTTTTAAAAAAATTAGAAAATTATAAATCTCATATTTATGTATTTAAACATGGCTTTCAATTTGAAACTATTTGTATATGTTAAACTATATTTTATGCATAAAATATATATATTTTTTTTTTTGATAACCCAGTATCCGACCACAAAGCGTGATCGACTAGCCCACCGGGCCTAAGCCCATGCCATGACAGGATTTTTAAGCGTCCACTTAAGGGCCCCTGGTTACGCTAAGTGGTCTGGAGCGCCACACCAACTCCGCATGTAAATTATGTGGTGGCCGGGGTTCGAAGTCGGATATATATTTGAAGTATATTATAGGTTCAGTTAAAATTAATGTATATATTTTAGTTTTTTTTTTTATATTTTATGTAAGTGTATATATCCGTCTAGGCTCCATCTATTCGTACGTGTATGTGTGACACTAAAGTTTATTTCCCGCTGAGAGCAGCATTATCGGAGGTTCTTAGCAATAGGATCCTTAAAAAAATATAAAATATTGGGTGGATCCCATCAAAATAAAAGAAACCAGTGAAACCGTGCAGACCATCTATGCGTTAATCATGCTCTTAACAAACTCCTAGCGCTTTTAGAATACTGTTCAAACTTGACCTGCTTGTTATTTTTCAGTTACATAGAGGAAGATGACTTGCTGAGGTTCATGATTAAAGAGGAGGTAGACCTTGTACTCCCATTAATAGAATGTTCTGAGACCGGAAAAATCACACGTAAAGCTTTTACAGAATGGGTGGTAATATTCTTTCATACGTACACTTCCTTGGTTTATTAGTGTCCATGCCTATATGAAGATGATGTATAAAGATTTTAGTAGTTTGGTGTGTAAGCATGTGTAGCTGTTTCTTGACAGATTAAAGTTTACACAAGTAGGAAAGCTTTAGGGCACTCACTGAACGACACAAAAACAGCGGTTAAACAAGTGGACAAGATTTTAAGTGGAGTCTTGTCCGTTGTCACCTTCATCATTTGGTTGCTACTTCTTGATATTGCAACGACCAAGTTTTTGTTGGCCTTCTCCACACAGTTCGTGGGTCTTGCTTTCATGATCGGAAGCACTTGCAAAAATATGTTCGAATCATTTGTGTTTGTCTTCGTGATGCACCCTTATGACGTCGGTGATCGTTGCATTATCGACGGCGTTGTAGTAAGCAACTCTGAACATAATTTCCTCTCTCTATTACCACACTCATTGAAAACTAACCCATGTATATTTGGCAATATTTAAAAAATTGTTAGGCGGTAACTAAAAGTATAGTTGAATGATAGTGATTAGGTAGATTATTCAGAATTTTGGCGGAGTCTAGTTGTTATTTATTTGTTTTTAATATTCTTCATATTTCTATTAGCTATTTTAGTTTTATGTTAAATTATAAAAAAAATTTGATGGATTATAAACTTAGATATACATAAAAGAAATAAAATTTAAAAGAAATTGTGTATTTAAACTAATATTATTATTTAATTTAGATTGATTTGAGAGAATTGCTTTTTAAATTATTTTTTAATTAATTTAAAACGGTTTAAACCAAGTAGCATAAATCAGATTTTCAGAAATTGTCTCCCTTGATTTTTAGAACATGGAAATTTACTAATATTAATACTCATTTTAAACGTCTTATGCCCTTCTTTTCTTGACTTTGAAGTTGTTGGTGGAAGAGATAGATCTTTTAACTACCGTGTTCCTCAAGATTGACAACGAGAAGGTGTTCTATCCAAACGCAACTTTGATATCAAAACCGATAAGCAATTTTTACAGAAGTCCAGATATGGGAGACAACATACTATTCTCCATCGCATTCTCAACTCCGGCCGCGAAAATTGCCACTCTCAAGCAAACTGTATCAGAGTAAGTATCGAAAAAACCATCTTAAACACTCACTCACTCAAAGTGTATTGACATAACATTGGTGTGTGTTTTGGTCAGATATTTGTTGCAGAATCCACAAAATTGGTATCCAAATTTCCTTTTCTTGGTGGATGCGATAGAGAACGTGAACAAGCTGAACTTGAATTTGATTGTCACACACACCATCAACTTCCAAAACTTCGTGGAGAAGAGGCTTAGGAGAACGGAGCTGGTCATCGCGGTTAAGAAAATGCTCGAGGATCTTGAGATTGATTACACCTTACTTCCTCAAGATGTTCATCTCATTGGTCACAAATGATCATTTCCTTATTTCCTTTTAGCATGTATTAATTCCACTTGTATTTGTTATTACCGCATGATTTTCTTTGGTTTAATTGAACTCATGAAACTCGGTTTATGTTTTTTTAGTATGGATTTAAACCATTAATCACTATTAAGTGAAATAACTTGATTTCTAGATTTGGTGTGGACAATTTACTAATAACACAGGTGAAAATATTGATAATGAAGATGGGTCTTTCTTAGTAAGCAACATAGTTTTCTTAACCAAACTAAACTGTAACTTGAGGAACAAGCAAACGAAATCCCAAGCAATGTAGAAAAAAGAGACTGGTTCTTGAGCGAGGACATGGGTTTGAAGTTGAACCGGTTCTTCTTCAAGTATGCCGGTATGCCACACCATGACCATGAATGAATCTCGCGTTCTCTTCGCTATAAACTTCCGTCTCCTTCTCCAACCTGCTCAAATTCAAATTTAAGTTTTGTAAGTAAACCAAATGGCAATAAACAAATATAAAGAGAGGAGACAATGGAAATTACGCGAGAGAGATGGTCTTGTTGAGAGTAGCAGCAGAGAGGAAAGAAGGAGCATTTAGATACATCAACTCTCCATTTATTCTCTCTTCGATTCTTTGATCCATTTCATTCATTGCAACCTCAAACTCTTGGTCTGATGCCATCACCCATCCCCACGTGTCCGCAAATGATGGTACATGTGCTGTGTAAGCCTTCACGTCTGTTTTCATTACAAAAATAATCATCATAATGAACCAACCATGTTTCTACAAAACGACACAAGAAGTCTTGCTTACACTTGAAGACTTGCTTCATGGTGTTGTAAATTGATGTAAAGACCTCTTTATGTGTGAATATTCCTGCTGGTCCAGCCTATTATTATTATAAGAATTTGAAAATTGAATATCAAAATATAGTCTTTTGATTATCTTTCTTCTTAAGTTCTTAAAAATAAAATAAACATGAAAGACCTGAGTGACAAAAATGCCATTAGGGCTAAGCTTTGGTTTGAGGATGTTTTGGTAGAAAGATTTGGTGTAGAGCTGGTAACAAGGGCCACCTTCTACTGGGTCGGCTAAATCTCCCACTATGATATCAAACTTTTCTTCCCTTTTCTCCAGTTCAGCCCTTTTCACATTCAAGTTATTATAGTTAAGATAATTACAACAAAATATATTTTAGTCATAAATCTTGTTTTTAGTGTCCTTACTTTGCATCTTTAATCACAAGTTCAAGCTTCTTGTTACAAAAAGCGTCACTGTTAACGGTCAGAAATCTCTTGCAGAAGTCAACAACTTCCTGAAAAAAAAACATTTTTTGTTAGCAATGAATTTATGTCTCTGTTAATAAAACTGATCAAATATACATGGAGAGAATAAGAAGTTAACCTGATCAATATCACACATGACAACTTTCTCAATTGTGTTGTGTTTTAGTATTTCTCTTGCAGCAGAGCCTTCACCTCCTCCCATTATGAACACTGTCTTTGGACTATTTAGAGAGCAAACAATGGTTAAGTAAATAACTAATCCAATTCCAATTATGTATATAACATTAATGCGCATTTTTTTTCCATTATCAATTGATCAAGTTAAAGATAGTTATGTAAAAAAAGTGAAAGATAGTATTGTTATTTATTTAGTTTTTGTAAAATAAAATAAAAATGGAAGAAGTGCATCATACTTGGGGTGAAAAAGGAGGGCTGGGTGGATCAAACATTCATGGTAGATAAACTCATCTCTTTCTGCACTTTGCATTTTCCCATCAATCACAAGCACCTGTTTTAAATCAAGTCACATATTGTTTTTAGTCTCCATTGCCATATAGTGTGGTCCTGATGGATTAGATACCAATTGAAGAAAATGTACCTTGCCGAAATGTTTGGTATCCAGAAGAGCAATTTCTTGGTACTCACTAGTTCCTGTATGGAGCACACTGTTGAGGGCAAAAGACCACTTGAGATCATCATCGATGGTTTCTTCGTACCAATGGCAGTCCTGCTGGTTGGAGAGGAGGGTTTGAATGGGTGACGTATCTTTGTGAGGGAACCCATTTCCAAACATGATCTCTACAGCTTCTCCCATATCCAACTAGTTGAGGAAACACAAAGAGATATAGAGGAGATAATATTAGAGAGGAGTGATTATGCTTCGAGGTGAGATATGATCACAGAGAAGCCAACCTTTGCCCTTTTATAGAGGGTGCAACTGGAAGTAATTTTATATGGATATACGATTTGTTAGGTCCCTCCTAATGTTCACTAGTTAAAAGTTTCTATACCATCTCGTTTTATGAATGGGATAATGAGGTTTCTTTGTACAAAATATCCATCTCGTTTAGCATGAGTAATGATTGCGACAGATATCCACTGCCAGGATTCCGCCGCATGCTTATATTCTAGCATTTTAACGTATTCAACACTTCCTCATGGTGACATCATAATTTTATTTTCATATTACCCTTCAATCAATTTATTTCTGTTTTTCTTTTCAGTTATATAGTCCTCTATACTTCAAAAAAAAAATTGGAATAGTGTTATTAGCATGTTGTTTACTGTTACGGTCAGCATACAATAATATATCATGATATCCACTAGCAAGCTGAAGTGGCATTGTCACGCATGTAGAAGAATTTTGAGCATGGTAGCTCGATTCAAAATCTCATCACAAAAAAATGTAAAAACCTAGCACACACTCTGTTGACAAAAAGAATCAATTAATGAAGGGATATAATATTTTCTAAGATCAGACTCGTCACCTAGGATACTAACAAGAGACTAACAGTTTCAGTTTCTGCTTCGAGAAATTATAACTCTGTTCTTGCTGTTTTTAAAAAAATATTTGGTAGATACTCATCTTTATCCTAGTGATAGAAAAGCTCTAATACAGATATAAAATGTATGTTTTCATAAATTTTTTCAATCTGAGGTATTCCGTGTCTATGAAAAACACATACTACTCTTCAAATAAAGATACATCCTACGGATAGATTTTTTTTTCTAGGTATGCAAATGTGCCGAAAGTGGTAATTCATATTTGCATGGATGTCTATGAACAGTGTGAATTAATTTTGTGTAGGAGGTTAGATGGTTCAAGCCTGAAACGTGTTGACGTTCCGAACCTTTCTCTTTACCATTCGGTCATAAGATCTTAGACTACGTTTTCATATGTTCAAGTGCTGTTTGGAAAAGGATTCAGATCTGTTAGTCCCAAGAGATGTATGAATCATTGGACATAATAAAAAAAAAAGGACAAATATGATTGTGCCCCGCATTTGACGGAAACCTGATAATATCAAAACATGCAATTGAAGAATCATTCTATGTAACAAAATAACTAAACCAGTTGAAGAAAATGTAACTAGCACTTTTTTTACCTTTTGGTAACTACTAGTATTTAAAAAAAAAACATAATGTATATTATATGATTGTAGGACGGAGAGGATGGGTGAAGGAGTGCAGCAAAACACGATATACACCATTACCAAGTGGATTGTGCAAATATGAAAAACACATCAGTCACTCACTGCGACACATCATGAAACAACACGCGCAGACTTCTTTTTATTACGATATTTCCCACACTGTCATTATCGTTGGGTCCACACCCAGATACACGCGTTACAAATGTACACTTGTGACTTCTCCATGGACGATGGTTCCATACACTACCATTTTTTTTTTAACTGAAAAGAAACAATTTTTCATTAACACATTAAGCTCATGCATTTTATACAAATCTAATTTGATATTTAGTTTTGTAACGAATGGTTAAATGAAAATATCATCGTCATCAAGATAATAGTCCGAATTAACGATCACATAAACTCACAAACAGAAGAATTAGAAGAATACTAGTCTCTAGTTACGTATATTACACGGGATCGTAAACATTTGAAGAAACAGAGGGATTAGATTGGGACCCACGTATGTGGTATGGATATGCACTCTTAATTAAGCGTGGAGCTAATCCACTCAAAAGAGAATGATATCTTTGTTGGAGACTCCACTCTTTATACTATATAACCTTTTTAGTTTACTTATCTTTTCCCCCTAAAAAAAGATTTGTGTCTTTTGTCGAGTTAATAATAATCCCTTATCATCAACATCACCATCATACGGTATGATTCATAACCATCATCATCCATATGTTCCCAACGTTATAACACGATCCTCATGTATGATCTTGAAATGAAATGAAACCAGTCTTCCTCGGCACACACTTTGTATATCATCGCATGGTGGAGAAGCAAAACATGAGTGGGACAAGATAAATTGGGCTAATAGGTACACACTAAAAAGGACAACCACTTTTATTCGTGTCTTCGAAAGTGGGCTGCCCAATGAATAGCTTGCCGACGGGTTGTCCTCCACACTTAATATTTATATGTTACGAATATGTCACTTTTAAAAATAATTAACATATAAAATTACCGATGATGTGAGTATACATCTTTGGTTAAAAGACCAAGAAGGATTGCGTGAAAGCTGACTTTAGAATGATGTCAAAGCGTGCCTAACTTTCCTCCAACATATACGTGGTTAAAGTGGTTCCACTTATGACCTACCCGACCACACTCCTAGTATGCATTGCATGTATCTATATTGATACACCCTCCCTATTGAATCTTTTTCGGATTTTTGAATTTTGTATAACATATTCGAGTAACTCGTTGAATAAAAAACTTCAGACGATGAATCATAAAATTGATCTTTAAACTTTCATTCCATAGCCTTATTTCAAGTTTCATCAATTGGATAAGATTAGATAACTGCTTCTGTTTTCTACTAAATTAGTATTTTATTTGTCAATTACGTTTCGATTATCAATGTTTCTGTATTCTAAACTCATAAGTAACCATATTTGATACGTGTCTTTAAGGCTATAATTTAAATTAGTCTAGATTAGAATGCATCATGTTCATTCTTAAGAAAATTAGACTGTATGATTTTCATTGAGTGCATATATCCACCATGCATAATTTAACAACTATACATCCACCTTTGGTGGGTACATCATTGTAACAAGTTAGGTCCTACTCGTGGCATGTGTCCAAGGTATTTTTACACTGGAGTTATTTGTTTTTGCAAAATTTTAGTTAGAGATTTGAAGTATTTTTTTCCAAAAAAATTGGATCCTTTTGTTTTTACCAACAAGACGAACATAGCGATATAAGATTGAGCCGGGCCATATAAGTTATATTGCATCACTTTGTGAAAATTATATAGTTATCTATAACCTATTGTTTAAAAAGACCTGAGTCAGTCTGAATACTAATCAAATGAAACTCACAAGAAGAACAAACTATTTAAAGTGTTTCTTAATGCAATGTGCTTATTTCCAATACCATTAAAGCAGTCATGTTAGTTAGTAAGTTAGACAACGACATGCATTCACCAGAAAAAATGGAAAGAATGTTTGGTGGTCGAGTATTAAGTTTGGCCAAGGGGAAATCAACAACTTGATATGTTGTTTGTGCGCTATATCATACAACGCACATGAACGAATTAGTCTTTCTCTTTTTTATTCGTTATTCCAGGAAGAGTTGGATCATAAGGCCTAAATCTCCTCCCTTGGCACCAAGCGAGCCTTTGATCTTAAATTTTGTTTAATCCACTCATTCCACCGAATATTGAACTAGAAACACAACAATAATGCATGCGTCTTGGTCTACCAAATTCGGTGGTTAGTCTTCCTTATTTTGTGTATCAAAAACATAATCAGGACGGTAATACAAATATATACCATATGATATGATGCATGCAGGCCCGGCTCAGATTGTGGTTGGACCTTGTGCAAATTCTAACTTTTCAAGAACAATAAAAATAATTTGCAAAATTAAGATCCTAAATTTATAAAAATTGGCCCTTAATTCTAACTAATTTTTCTTAATTTTATGTTGGACCCTGTGCAAATGTGTCTTGTGCATATGGTAAGAGCCGGCACTAGATGCATGTCAGGAGGTCATAATGATATTGAAAATTTGGATTTATATGTTTCGTGTATACTAATAGAGGTTTTTTTTTTCTTGATCAACTATTAATAGAGGTTTTGGAGAAAAAAAAAGAAGGAAACGAACACCAAAGAACATGAAGATGACAGAGCAGAACATGAGGGTTGGATTTAGTAAATAATTTTCCAAGGAACAATATCGTAAAGTACAATAAAAGTGAGTGCAACAACTGCAATTTAAGAAAAATATTAGAAAATAAATGAATAAAATAATTATTTTTGTCTTATCCATTTTTCCCGAAATAATAGAAAATATCTTTTCGTCAAGTTATTCTCAGTCTCTCAAACGAATAGCTAACCAAAGAAACCAACCATGGCGTCAAGCTCTTTCGCCCTTCTTCCTTTGCTTAACTACAGCTCCAAAACCGACAGATCTTCATCTTCAAACCTCGTTCGCTTCTTTAACCTCCCAAAATCGAAACACAGGTCCACAAAACACACAAACCGTCGTCGTTCTCCACAAGTTCTTGTCTCCTTCTCATTGAACCAACCGGTTAATGATGATGAATCCTCCTCCGACGCTGCACTCTTTCAAGAATCGAACTCAATCGCTGATTACATGCGGTTCAAGCGCAGCTCTGACGTCGGCAACAACAACGGCTCTAGTGTGTTGCAGACAGCAATCGTCAGTTACAAGAAACGTTTCCCGTGGATTCTACTCAACCCTTTTCTTCAAGTAAACCAAAACAATATCTATGATTTTACTTCCACATTAAAATCTTGTCGGGACTTACATGTGTCATGTTGCAGGTAGATTTGGTCTCAACGATTCATATTGCAGATAAAGAGTGAGCTTTTTTTTTGTTTTCTATCTCCCTCTCTTTATTTGTTCGTTATGTAGTTTTTAGTGGAATATAAATAGTTGAATTGTTGTGCTTCCTCTGTTTTATGCTGCTTGTGTTGCAACTATGACGTTAAGGTTTATAGCTTTAGTACATATTGATTATGTCTTTGTTTTTGTTTACCAGACTAGTGTGTTTGATAAAGGGTTTTTAATTAGTTTCTTGCAATTTTTAAGAAATCACTAGACGGTAATTAGGCGCTTTATAGAGAGGACTGTGGTAGTTGATAACAAATTATTGATTTATTTTATATGTCTTTACATTTATATAAAGTATTTTAGTTTTTGAGTGTAGCTATAAAATTATAATGAATTATCAAATATTAGATATACAGAATAATATTAGAAAAATTTGTGGATTTGTACTAACATTGTTGCTTAATTTAAAAGAAATAGACTAGTTTATATTGATATAAACCGATTTAGAGCAGTTTAAAACTATTTAAATTGTATAGGATTTTAAGAAAATCGTTTCAAATAGGATTGAACTTGTGATGATATGTGGTTTTGGGGTTGGGTGTGTGTAGGTACTTCACAGCTCTTCAGAAGGAGCTTGAACCATATGATTCTATCTTGTATGAGATGGTGACTAGTAAAGAGGCTTTAGCAAACAGAAGAAACCCAATTGCAGCCAAGAGGCTCAAGAATTCACGTTCAAAAGGCTTCAGTATCCTCGGCTTCATTCAGAGGCAGATGGCTAGAGTGCTAACTCTTGATTTTCAGCTAGACTGTCTTGATTACGAAGCTAAGAACTGGTACCATGCTGATCTAGACTTCGAGACGTTCACCTTGCTTCAGGTTTGTTTCTTAAAAAAGCTATCTCAGGAAACCCCACCAGTTAGTGTAAATGAAAAGCATTTGGTGCTGTTTCATATATGTGGTAACAGAAGGAGAAAGGGGAAAGCTTCTACTCATTTGCAAGGGACATGACTATTAGATCAACTAAAGCAATGATACAACCAGCTTTGGTAACCGAAGGTCTTGATACTTGGAGGTCAAAGCTTCTTTGGGTTTCACGAGTTTTCCCTATGCCTCTTGTTGGTCTTTTCCTTATTGGAGCGTTCTGTGCTGACTTTGAGAATCAGACAGAAGACTATCCAGAACTAGAAGCACTTTCACGGCTTGATATTGGTGCTGCTATGAAGGTTTTCCTCGCTAAGAGATTGACATCCGAGTAAGCACATCTCTTTTTGGATTGTATACTCAGTTAACAATTGTATACTAACTAACTTCTTTCTTTTTCTTGTGAAGGCTAACGCAAGGGACATCAGATATAGAGGCAAAATCAGTAATCATCGGCGAGAGAAACCGAGCAGCGACCGAAGCTTTAAGAAGAGCAATAGAGCAAGGAAACAAGAGAGTTGCAATTCTTTATGGAGGAGGCCACATGCCTGACTTGGGAAGAAGACTTAGAGAAGAGTTTGATCTTGTTCCTTCAGAGGTAAGATGGGTAAAAGCTTGGTCTATCAGTAACCCAAGGGACTTGGAGACTACTTCATTTCCATTTCTAAGGACAATGGCTGATGCTTTGCGTTGGCCGCTAAACCGGTACCAAACCTTGGCTTTGCTAATATTTTCGTCGGTTCTTGCATTGGATCTCTGCTTTTGGGAGTTATTCTTGGATTCGACCATTGACTGGGGTTCACAGATAGCTGCAGAGTTGTACCGGTTTGTAGATAATACAAAATTTGTGTAACAGCTATTTGTAAATTACACAATGATGTACAAAACAGTATCTAATAGTATTTAAAACAGCTAAAGTCTACTGTTAAAGAAACAAGAAAAGTCAAGAACAAACTATTTGAAGAAAGATAAAGCAAAGGAAGAAAATTCACTAATATATAATACAACTATGCAAAATTTTCTTTGTGTTTGAAAGATTTTTATTCTAGATTTTTATTTTTTGCATTTTAAAAATTAATGTTAATAATTTAGTTAATACATTTACATTTTACAAAGTAGATTAATGGCAAATAATAGAACAAAAGGTAATTAAATTGTGTCAGTATAAAAATAAATAGTTTTTTATGACATTATCAGAGCAATTCGACTAGCGCCTAATGACCGTCTCGAAAATCTGGGCATAACTTGCAAGAGAGCCCGTTCAAGGCATAGGAAAATAAATAGTTTTGTAATTAATATATGTAAAATTAATCAAAATATAAAATTTCCATAAAAGGATAGAAAATAGAAAAATAGCTTTTGTAGATATTGCATTTAGTGGAAACAAATTACTTGTTGAAAACATAATTAGTTTAACATATACTAAAAAAACAGAATATTTTATGTAAGAAACAAGTAAACTATGGACTTGGTGAACAAGTTCTGTGGTATCTAAATAATAATAAGCTGCGCCCACAGACAGTTAAGAACTCGCATGATACATCCCACATTATTAATTTGATACACTCAAAAAAGTTCCAATCCAACGCCAATAAACTCTCTTCGCAAACTGATTCATCAATCGTTGGCTCTAATGGACTCCGTCTTCTCAAACGTTGATCGTGCTCCCGAAGATCCTATTCTCGGTGTACGTCTCTCTATCTACATCGATCTTACCTTCCTTTTTTACTTTGCTTCAGTTCATGTGATGTGACTGTGAGCGAAAAGAGTTTTGATCCATATTGTGTTGTTAGATCAACTCGTTTTTGATAAGATTCTTATCGGTTGCTGCGAATCTTAGTTTAGGCATAATTTAATCGATGATCTGCTTAGCATACAACAATGATCAGTGATCTAATTCATAGTTTTAAAATATTGATTAGATCATAAATATTTTGTTTAAAAACAGGTGACAGTTGCTTACAACAATGATACAAGCCCAGCTAAGCTCAATTTGGGTGTCGGTGCCTATCGAACTGAGGTTGGATTAGTTTCTTAACCATCTTTATAATCGTAATTAGTCATTTTTGCTTGCCTAAGTTTCTGATTAGTTATTTGTTTTTTTTTTTCAAAAGGAAGGGAAGCCACTTGTTCTTGACGTGGTGCGTAGGGCAGAGCAACAGCTTGTGAACGATCCGTGAGTCTTTTTGAACATTATAAATTACTAACTTGTGTGATTATTTTTTTTGCTAATACCTTTTAATGTTTTTTTCTTAAGGTCCCGTGTGAAGGAATATATTCCTATTGCTGGACTTGCTGATTTCAACAAACTTAGTGCCAAGCTCATCTTAGGTGCTGATAGGTAATATATCATTCACTCCTGATTTCTTCTTTTTTTTTTGGTGTTTTGAATGTTTAATTCTTATTTTCCGTAGTCTCTGCTTTGTGATATTTTCTAAACATATCTTGTTTTTTTCTGGGCAGTCCTGCTATTCAAGAGAGTAGAGTTGCTACAATCCAGTGCTTGTCTGGTACTGGTTCTTTGAGAGTTGGTGCTGAGTTTCTCAAAAAACACTACCACCAAGTACACAACTTCTCGCTTTTTAGTTATTGGATTTGGTAATCAAAGAGCTGTTGCTAACTGGGGGTTGTCATTATTTCAGAGTGTTATTTTCATTCCAAAACCAACTTGGGGGAACCATCCCAAAGTTTTCAACCTGGCTGGCTTGTCTGTAGAGTACTACCGTTACTATGATCCTGCAACCCGTGGACTTGACTTCCAAGGTCTCTTTTATTTATTGTCCCATGAGTTTTATCTTTCACTCAAGATTATTGCTTCATTTTTATCATCGACTATACAGTCCTATGTTTTAACCACAAATGAAAATCTCTCTCAAGTATACTGATCCTATTTTAGAATTTAAGTAAGGATATAAGTCTCTTGATTGCATCCTGTCAACACATTTCATAAAAGAGAGGCATTCGGTATAAACCTTAACCTCGATGCAAAAATATTGTAAAATAAACAGGCTTGCTCGAGGATCTTGGCGCTGCACCTTCTGGAGCTATTGTCCTACTTCATGCATGTGCTCACAATCCCACTGGAGTTGACCCAACCCCTGAACAGTGGGAACAGATTCGACAACTAATTAGATCTAAAAGCTTGTTACCGTTCTTTGACAGTGCATATCAGGTAACTCATACAAGTAATCTTGCTTTGTTGCAACGGGTTTGTACAAATACATGAAGTCGAGTTATAGTATATGTTTGAATCTTACCAGATGTAGAAAATGATAAGCCTCATTCCTTTTTCCTAACACGTTTGCAGGGTTTTGCTAGTGGTAGCCTTGACACAGATGCACATTCAGTCCGCACTTTTGTTGCTGATGGTGGTGAATGCTTGATAGCTCAAAGTTATGCCAAAAATATGGGACTTTATGGGGAGCGTGTTGGTGCCCTTAGCATCGTAAGAAACAAAACTTCTCGTTTTCATCTTTGCTTCTATCCATAGGACACTATTGCTAAACATACTTTTGCATCTATTCTTCATGAGACTTAAATCATGCATATCTCAGATGTTTAACAATGGCATGGCTACTAATTATTTGTATCTATCACACTTTTGGCTGCATATTAACTACCTGATATATGTTCACCTTTCTTGGGCTTTGCCGTTTATCCTCACATAGTACAATAGTAATGGTATAGTACAAGAATACGTATTCAAAAAGTGTATCTAATACTTTTGATCTAATTTGAAGGTCTGCAAGTCGGCAGATGTAGCTAGTAAGGTTGAGAGCCAGGTGAAACTTGTTGTGCGACCCATGTATTCTAGCCCACCTATTCATGGAGCATCAATTGTTGCTACCATTCTGAAAAGCAGGTAAATGCTTATTCTCGAAAGGGAGAGCAAACTAAGAAATGCATGCTTTGGTTTGCAGTTACATACTTCTAAACACACAGATTTTTACCAAATCTTCAATACGCAGTAATTTGATTGCTTATGCTTTGTTCAGATTGTTATGCTAAATTTTATACTCTGGAATCATCCTTGAGTCACCAACATTTTCCTTCGTATTATCAAATCTGCTAAATAAATTTGTTTATGTAATAAGGTTTTGCTGCTGTATGTTTTAAAATTTTCTTGTATGCATCTTGATAGTGATATGTACAATGACTGGACCATCGAGCTGAAAGGAATGGCTGACCGCATAATTAGCATGCGCAAACAGTTATTTGAAGCTCTACAAGCTAAAGGTCATTTTCTAAATTCTCGTTTCTATCTCTTGTTTCTTCACTAGTTTTATATATTTTCCAGGTTTGCGTTTGCAGTATCAGTAGTATGTCCTACTCTGCAACTTTTGTTCTTGACATTTTTTTTTTCTGGCATTGCAGGCACACCTGGTGATTGGAGTCACATTATCAAACAGATTGGGATGTTCACTTTCACTGGATTGAACAAGGAGCAAGTTGCCTTCATGACCAAAGAGTATCACATTTACATGACATCTGACGGGTGAGGCCAACTTATCTCTCATTTATTTTGGAATTTCTTAGGCATTTCTTTAGGTTTCTGCAACGCCTAGAACCATGATTATATTCTCTGCTGTACCTATATTAGACAAAGATAGTTCAAAGAGGTTTAGCAGTAATAACCAGATATTAACTATTTAGTTTCATCATGTTCTGAGAAGTTCATGAACCAAGATAGTTGGTTAGAAGTTCTGAGATCTGAAAAATTCACTCTTGCTAGTGAAGCTATAATAGTTGCATTGAAAAATAGGAAAATAGAAAATACTAAATAATTTGGCATAACAAGATGAATTTGAAGTTGATAAAGATTGTGAGCATGTTGTTGAGAAGAAGGGTACTTGATCTTGTGTATTGCAGGAGAATAAGCATGGCAGGTCTCAGTACGAGGACAGTGCCTCACCTGGTTGAAGCTATACATGCTGCAGTTACCCGCGTCGCCTAAACTAGGGAGACAATATTTTTGTTGTTTCGTCGAATAAAATGAAAAACAAAAACAAAACAGAAACATCTTCCTTGGTTTATTAGTATATACTAAGGATTTTCCGTTGGTATTATCATATGTTTCCTCATGTCTTTTGGCTAAGGATGCCTGAACCAAACAAACCGTTGATATATTCAGTATTGAAGGAAAATAATGGTTATCAAAAGTTCATTTATGGTTGTTGATGCAATAGTTATACATCGTATCCTGTGAGAGGTTGATCAAAAAAATGATCATAAACGCGAGTTTTCAAAATGATTAGTTACACACAACGTGAGTAAATGATTAATAAACCATATCGGATGTTAATAAACCAAATACTTTTCAATTAACAGAACCAAATCTTTGCCAATGATGTTTAGACTTTGTAAAGAGTCGGCGTGCTACTCTTACATGTCCCCCACTAAACTACGTTTTATCTCTTTCTTATCAGTTGACTCGAGATTGATTCTATTCATTTTTAAATTGAAACCTGAAGTTACATTTGAAACTAGCGAGTCAATTTTGAAAGTGATTGACCTTGATATTCAGATTCAAATCCACAAAATACGTGTTATTGACAAAAAAAAAAAAAGGTATTGAAATGAATACTCTTACGTTCACCTTATGTAAATCTATAACATAGAAAAATGCAAAAAGAGAAATGGAGGTTATATTTCGATAGTAACGACTAGGAGAGTTAGATCATATATAGTTTTTGCACGTGAACCTAAAATATGCTTCCTGGTCGAATTTGGAAGTTAGTTCATTGGTTAGAGAACAAAGATTTACTTTGTTGGAATAGGATGGTGATGAATAAAAATTGTAACGTTGACCAACCAAGGTTAATAGGTCTTCCATGTTTTACTCACTAGTAACACTACAAGAAAACTCGTCCATTACTAGGACGGGTTTTCCTCGTTAGTTCCTAGTAAATGGCCTTTTACTAGGAACTTACGAGGAAACGCGTTTCCTCGAAACACGTTCATCGTAAAGACATTTTCCTCGTAAGGTTGTAGCGAATTTACGAGGAAAGTTTTCCTCGTAAAGGCGTGGTAATATTTTCCTCGTAAG